GGAGAGAGGTCCTTATTAAATAAGAGAGAAATTAAATGAGTTTAGGGCAGACATGGAAGTAATTTAGACATAACTAGTATGCAGATTAATTAATTAATGCAGATTTAGAGACAAGACTGTCAACTTTATATGTTAATTTAAATGTGAAAATGACATTTTATTTTTAAGCTTTTTTTGTAATTGAACCAAAATCGTAGAAGATGTCAATGTTTCTCTGGAACTAGAAAACTTTTTTGTACATTTATTTTTAATGTGAACCATGCTGGATATTGTGAGGCATTTTTACCACCTCTAAGATTATCCTCAGGTAAAATGATTTCTAATTAACCAAAGATTCTAAACTAAAACTAAAAATTAGCTGCTATTCATATTACTTTGTTTTGTTTAAAATTCACTGTGTCCTAAATTAAAGTCTAATCCCAGTAGAAAAGCTAAAGTTTATAATACATAACAGTTAATACAACACATTTTATTTGGAGTTGTGCTGTTTCATGTCGCTCTCCCTTTAAGAGGCTTATGGGGCTCAGTGCAGGGGGTCACAGCACTGACTGAATATGTATCATATAAAGTGTTATTATGAAATGCATGTATACCAATTTCCTCTGCCTAATCCTTTTTGCCTTTAGGCCCCATCCAGTGCACCAGCCAAATCTGTTCAACAGTGCCTGTAGAAATATGAGAAAAGCTAATATGTATTTCATACTAATGATGTTACTGCTCCTTTTGCCACTTGTTTTGTAAAATTGTTGCTGCCCTTATTATACTGTAAAGTCCTTAAACTGAAATAAAGTTTAGTACTGATACTTTACTGATTTGTTAGAAGGTTGATTTGTTTGCTTAATGATGACTGAAAGACTGTTTATTAATACCAAACTATTTTATCTTGACCAACTTCCTGGATGAGGACTTTTTTTTCCTAATGTTTCTTTAAAGTGGCATTCAGTTTTTTTATTAAATAAATGCTTTTGTCTTGTCTTGATTTTAGAAAGTTTCATTACCGTACACACTTGCAATACACGCACACACACACACACACACACACACACACACACACACACACACACACACACACACACACACACACACAGTTATGTCTCCATCGCTTCAGATGATATTACATTGACTTACATTCATTTCCTAGAGGCTTATCCTGATCCAAATCCCTACTTGGCTAACCCCAACCCTTCCACTAACCTTAAGTCTTTATGTTTTACTTTATGAGGACATTCTGTCCTCAAAATGAAGGTGAGTCCACACAATGTGACTGTGTAAACAGATTTATGTCCCCACAACATGAGTAATACATATCCGCACACACACACACACACACACACACACACACACACACACACACACACACACAAACTTTTACTTGAGCAAAGGCTGTCTTCACTGCTGCCCTATAATCAATATTGGCAAGATTTAAAGCAAATGAGATCAATCGAATAATCAATTGGAGGCTCATAAAGACACAGTCAGTTAATTACAATGAACGGCCCTCTTGCAGTCAGATCCCCCCCCCACACACACAGATGAAATACATCCCTACGCTGAGTGGCTTGGACCCTCATCACAGCAATCAGCTTGTTTGGATAGAGAAAAAGAAGAAGAGAAGAGAGAGAAACATACATAAGAGCAACCACTGCGAGTAGTAGGGTTTTTTAAAAGATCCCACAATAACAACAGAAAAAGTACTAAACAAGAGTTTGGAATATTATATAAGTAATTTAAGTAAGCATGACATGGAACTCACATATCAAAGATAGTCTTTTACCTCCTAATTGTTTTTGAAATGTAGTTCTATTTATTTTAAGGTGCTTTTCCTGATTGAATTTTCTTTTTTTTTTTTTTCAGTAGGATTTCCCCATATTTAACTTTTACAGCTTTATCATTCCTGGTAGATCTCCCTGACCTTTGTTTGGGTTTGTGAGCACTCTCACTCAGGAACTTAGCCATCTGGTGAGCTGAGACCTCCACAGGATACTGTGAGAACTACAAGTCCAGTTATCAATGAGGGATCAATCAGTGTTCAAATGTGCCTCTACACTATGAGAAAACACATAACACATAATGGATACAATCCTTTACTCAAAATACCTTTCGAAGGCTAAATAATGAATTAGTCCATTTCCACAGTACATTCATCTGAGAATTGTTCTGATATGAACTCGTATTAGCCCAGCACAGTATTTTATTACTTAAAGATAAACATCAGCACACATTAACCCTAACCCATGCTAATGGCGTTGCTCCAGGGAAGGCAGTCAGTCATTTGGTCCAGACTGAAATATCCTAATCCTAATGACTATTATGATTCCCTGAATGTGTCCTGTAGCATCATCAGGAGGTTGACAACTGTGGATTGGAATGAAATGTCTTTCCACCTAGTTGAGAGACGGTCTGGTCTGATCTGGTCCTAATATTCTCTGGTTATTGAATACCTGCAACTTATAAGGGTGCATGGAGCATAGAAACACAATTTTGATGTTAATGTTGTTTTACATAGTCTTACTGACTGGGTATTAGTAAGGAAATTAGTCAGGGCAAGTTATCTGTAGTGATAAACCTTGCACAAACATTGCACAGCCAGACTTTGGTAACAGGACTACAACAGCCCTCTCAGTTTATCAGACTCCAACAGATGGTTGGAAGCACAGTGCAACACCCCCACCTCATTAGTTCGGCAATTAACAGAACAGATTTTGCTTCAGTGGGTTCTGAGAATTTACTTCCTTGATAAAACAACAAAGGCACTCAGTTCCCATCACCCACTCACACATGTACATGTGCACACAGATATGAAAATAAGGCTGGGTCATCAGACAGCGAGACTCAGGCTTGATGTGGCAAAAATTGTTCTGTGTCACCATATGTCATGATATTACTGTGGTTGAGGGCGTATATAAATACTGTTACTGCTAACACTATCATACTTTAGTTGTATAGCATTAATCAAAAACAGGAACATACAAATATCTGCTTTTGTGAAAGACAAATGTTTATTGGCTGGTGTTGCAGGCTCAGCTGATTTGATTAACTCTCTTGTATTTCCCATCAGGAAGCAAGGGATCTGTGTCTCTATCTCAGTTTGTGGACCAACAGACGAAACAGGTGCACACAGTACGTATGCAAATATCTTCCTGAATGTGCAAAGGCTATTTTTCTGGTAATGTGACTCCGTCCCACAGAAATGCATAGAAACACATTTAAACGTACAACCCCCCACGCACAGACACAGCACACACAAATACAAGCAGAAGTTAGGCAAAGCCCACAAACGCATGCAAATCATGTTTGTCTGCTGTAAAATGCACACAAAATCTCTCTCCCAATACACACAATTATTACAGACTTTACACATTGATGACTGAATAATACACCTGTGCTTGAGATTGAGACAGCTGTGATCCTGGCCGATGTTGACACAATGATGATGGCATGACACAAAGAGAAGTTCATCTGCATAACATCTTAGATGTTATCAGCAGAGAGCCTGCGTGTCCCCCACCCTGACAAGACTATCAGCTGACAGTGTTGGTTGAAGAGGAGGATGGTATGAGGACGACTGGAGTGTGTGTCTGTGTTTGCATGGGTTTATAAAAATGATGTGCTTGTGTGTGCTTTAAGGAGGGTGTGTTTGTATTATAGCACACACAATGGTTCAAAGTAAAGTTTGTGTGCTCGACATCCGGGATATGCACACACTTGGGGAGGCGTGTTTACCTTCAAACTATGAAGTCTTGGAAGTGTCTGCGATTGTTGCTGTGGGTGTCAATCAGCTGCTGTCCTAGCGGGTGGTAACCTAGGGGAAGTCAACCTACAACAGAGTATTAGGAAATGCAACGTGATACAATGCATAGTTTAGTCTAGCCCAGGCTGTGCTACTCATATATAATCTTTTGAATGTAATAACATGAGAGACACAAAGTTGGGCTAAGTTTAGTCAAGCATTTACTGGAAGGTACTGCATTGTTATTTACTCTCATGTCAACTTAGTTTAAAGAGTATTTACAGTTTATTGAAAAGATACTAATTAATTAAATATGAATAACATCAAAGGTCACAAAGTCAGTAACACAGCAATAGTTTGCTAACCTCAGCTAGCATTAGCTACTGCTGAGGAGACCAAGTGAGGCTGGAGCAGAAAAACTCCGGTAACTGAGGGCTTTTTATTGCACATGAATTCAACTTTGTAATAGAATGAATGTGTTATTTCTTCTTTCAGAAGCTACACTTTAGACATTAGTAGGGACACAACATGAAAGCAAGCTCTTGCTTTCTTACTTTTAGGCTACATCTGTGAACTTGGACACATAATAAAGGCCTACTAAATACAGTATGTTAACTCAATTCATGTTTAGGGTAAGTTATAAGTTAATATAACACCAATTTTAGCCTAAACCATTTCAGTTTATGTTATTAGACAACTATATAATAGCCTACTAATGCCCTGTATCTCCTTTGTTACCCATGCTGAGTTAATAGGTTATGAGCAGGAGACGCCCCAGGTGTTTCATTAGCAGCACAACCATCAAGTTACATCATCCTGTTAGAAAAAGACCGACAAGACCGGAAGCTTTCAGAATCAAGGCACACCTAAGTTACATGTACGAGCCATTATTGTATATTTACTGTGCAGAATTGTGAAGAAACATGGGTTAAAATAAAAAAGGGATTTTAAGCAAATACTGCCCTCATTTTGCTGGCTGATATGTTATGACCGACCATGGCTCGTCTTCAGTAGTTTAACCAACCACACCCTTATGAGCCATTTGTCTTATTGTGTTGTGTATTCGGGAAAAGTGCTTTTGGAAAAAAAAAAACAGACAAGGTTTCTTTGCAAACACGTTTCATTTCGGTGCCTTAAAACATTTAAAAGTGCAACGTTGTTGGTTTTTTTTTGTTTGTTTTTTTTTACAAGTGTGTATTATTTTGAAAGGAGTAGCCCCAGTGCTCCTCGTCATCGTGCGTAAATTGACACGTGAACCGTGATGACTGAACGGCTCACTTCTTCTCTGGTGTAGTCGTTAAGACACAGGATACAGCGGTACCGAGGCGCATCGACAGGCAAATAAGGCTGAAAAGAAAAAAGTCACAGTTGCAGGTGGATTTTATTCTTCTGTCCTCAGGATTGATCCGTCCATCATCTCCACAGAGCGGCCGCCAGGTGAGTTCCTATTCTGCTGTTTCTTCTTCCAGCAGATTATCTACAACTTCATGTGTTTGTCGTTGAAAATAGTAATTAGACTGTACCTCTGTTTGTTGTCAGTCTGGGTTTTAACAAAAACAGCACAATACTTCATATTCCTCTATAAACTTGTATAGTGCTCCCTAGTTTTATTCTGGCATTTATAATACAGTCTGCTATTACTTTAGGGTCTTTGTTCCACAGCTTTGTGAACTGCATGGCTGTTTTATGGCATTATTGACAGACTAATACTCCTAAAGGATGTTAAACTTAATGTGCTGTTTTTATCCTTTGTTGGGACTTATTTATGACAGTAATAATATTTTGATGGTATGTGAGGTAGAGACAGATATGCAAATATTATCCCATATTGTCAATAAGCTCTTAGGATGTTTATGATGATTTCCTCTTTTTACTTCTCTTTCATATGCTACCCTACCTACCTATTGTTTGTGCACTACCACACACACACACACACACACACACACACACACACACACCCCCCACAAAAAGTAAATAAATAATTAAGTGATTCAGAGGTCCCTGAGGTCTCATTCTGGTTTGAAAGCAATGATTATGTAAACAATTGTTTTGATAATTATTTGTTTTGAGTCATTTTTAAAAATAATAAATGTACTAATTCTCTGATTTCAGCTTTTAAAATTTTCTATTTTCTTTAGTTATCTGTGACATTAAACAGACGATCTTTCATTTTTAACATTTGACATTTTATGGCCCAAATAAATCAATTCATCAAGAACATAATCCAAAGATTTGAAAATAACTGTTGGCTGCAGCCCTACACTCTCACTGCTTGCTGCATTGTGTCTTCCCCTATATACCAAATCAAATCCAAGTACCAGACTGCTCAGAAGAAATCATATCTGGTTGGGCTTAGGCTCAACTATGTGGAATCCATGTTCACCATGTTCACTCCTTCCTCTTCGTGTCCGTCCACAGCGCAATGGACCTGCTGCCTGACTTATGGAGGCAGGACTACTGGCTTCCTCCAGGTGTGACCTGGAAGGACATGGAACAGCTGGCAGACTCTGATCGACCACTACCCCAGGACCTTCTCATAGCTCTGCCACTCGCACTGGGCTTTGTCGCCCTGCGCTACGTGTTTGAGAGGTAAAACACAACAACAACTCGCTTCATTCTGTAAATATCCAGGTGATGTGTTTGGGCCGTATCCTTTACAGGACGGGCCATTGTTGTCCGTGTGGCCAGGCAATTAAACACTTATCCCGCCTGACCTGCAATAATGCCCACATTCCTTGTTTAATAAGAAATACAATCATCTCTCAACACAATCGAAGAGTATTATTTGACTTGGCAAAATGGAAATGTTCTTTTTCTTGAATGGAGGATATTTAATGAAAGTAAATTATAGATGTAGATCAAATTCTGTTTGCATGAAATGCTTTTTAGTAGTTTAATTTCCAAAATCTAATGAAACACATGCCCAGTTATCAGCTTGAAAACATCTCTTTCATCAATTTTAGGTAGCAACAGCGCTGTGGGGTTGTTATGAGTGCAAACAAGCCTCACAGGCACTTCTTTTTTTCACACACACACAAACACACACTCACACACACAGATTGTCTTCAGGGTTTTTGACTTGATTACGTCTCCAGTGGGTTCACAGTTGTAACATTCACAGGAGTGAACAGTTAGTGGTTCGTTAAACCCAGTTAAAATGTCTTTATGTCATATTACTCCACTAAACTATGCTACTTTATTCTGTTATAGTCTATTACCTCATTTTTATTAGATGAGGTATATGTTTGTATAGACGGTTCATATTACTTCTCACATTATCCTTGAATATAGTTATTTTGCATACATACTAATCATCTCTCTCTCTATATATATATATATTCTAATCATAATTAATCTAATGTGTCACTTTCACTCAGGAATATCAGAGAAGTACACTATTAGGTTTGCACATACATCGCATTTGTGCACATTGGTTTAGAATACGTAAAGTTTTCTAGATATATGTTTATATTTATTTTTTACTTATATATTATCCTTTTCCCACTTAACTTCTCTGGACTGCTTATTATGCTGTAATGCTAAATTTCCCTCCTGTTAATCAATCAAATTTAACCTAAAATACAAGTATGCGTCAAGCTTAGTGGTAATACTACATGTCCATACACACACACACACACACACACACACACACACACACACACAAGTGCTTTGTTACCTACTGTAATTCGTGCATTGTATATAAAGCATAGCCTTCAGTTATGTGTGTTTGTTTTTGACTGGCTGGTAAATGGCTTACATTAACTTTGGCTAAACAACCACAGCCTGGCACCCTGCCTGTCCCATAGTGGGTGTTCTGTTATCATTTGTATAAGCTGTCTTTTGTCTTCCTTCCCCTCAGGTTTTTCGCCCCACCCATGGGCAGATGTTTAGGGGTAAAGAATAGATTGCAAGTGACTGCAACCCCCTCCATGAAGCTGGAGTCATTTTACACCCAGAGGAGCAGACAGCCGACACAGGTTGGTCTGAAAAGGCCTCTGCATGCGTGCAGTTCGGCTCAATTTGTAGCACATTTTAATCCAGAGCACACTGAAACAGGGTCAACATGAGGGTTTTTTTAAATGTTCATTCTAAGAATTTACTTACCCTTGTTAGTTGTTGGTGTGATTAATGTCCTGCGTGAAAAGTGCAGAGAAACATGAGTGTTGTGATAGTAATACATCCTTGTTCCTGGAAAACCCAGGGGAAAACCCAGCACTGTATATATAGAGGTCATATAAATACGCTCATTATTCTCTCTCAGCTTTTGGATAAACTAGGAAATAAAATTACTCATACTGTCTTTCTTTCTCCCTCTACATATATATTTATAAAATAAAAAGAATATAATAGAAAGAAATAGAAAGAACATAATATAGAATATAGAATTTAATTAATCCCAGCAGGCCTGTTTGTTTAAAACCTACAGATGATCATTAGCACCAGTGGGGCCAAAGATTACTTCACTTATTCAGCAACAACACTTTTACATTTTGCTACAACAACAACAACAACAACAACAACAACAAAATGCTTTGGGAGTAACTTGACACCAGTGTCCATTCAGTGGACAGTGAAGTTAAATGATCTGATGGAAAGAATAACATGCACTGCCTCTTATCTCGTTCCATCATTTCAATCTGGTTGCATTATGCTCATTATACCCCATTTAATCCGTTTCTCCCTTCCCTTATTGTTTCAGAGTGACATAATTAGTTTGATGTCAGTGTGTGGCAAAACCCAGAGGCAGATCGAGACCTGGTTCAGACTTCGCAGGAACCAAGACAGGCCCTGTCAAACCAAGAAGTTTGGTGAGGCTGCGTAAGTGCTTTCTCTCTACCACTGTTTCATTGTTCAGGTTACAGGTGACTTCCCTCAAAAACACTTACTCCACCACCCACTGCACAAAAAACCCCTTGAGAGCTTGGCACATCAAGCTATGTGGATTGATTTGTAGTCTTTTTTACATTTCTTAGGTGCCTTTTGTTTCACTGTTCAAAATTTCTGATCTCAAGTGTTTTATTTTGCAGTTGGAGGTTTTTTTTCTACCTCGCAGCCTTTGTGGCTGGACTGGCCTGTTTGATTGACGTGAGTTTCCAAAACGTTTTATAGCAAAAACATAGTAATATAACACTATTGTTGTATATCTTTGTCCCTGAATCAAAGCCCATTAGTGTAATCCAATAATAAATGTAATTAATTAGCTTTAAGCTTATCTTTTCTCTACAGAGATCTTGGTTCTGGGACCGCAGTGAATGTTGGAGGAAATATCCGATTCAGGTGAAAACATAAATTTCTGTGCATTTTCTCACTGCTTCCGATAATCAGTTTGTCCCATTTCCTCCTATATTACAACATGTGCATCTCTGACAGTGAGGAAAGCCTTGTCTTATGTGGAGGTGATCTGTTTTTAAAGGTAGTCTGACTGAAATATGAGTTTGAAGGAAACAGATTTCATTTATTTTCAAGAGCAAATGAAAACCAGTATCATCCATACTACAGAGAACTATGAATGTTCTGTCTCACCATTTCCAAATACTCATCATGTGGTTGAATAAATCTAAACAAATCAAGAATTGAAGGATGTGAGCAGAAAAGCAGCAGCACTCCCCTCCTCACACTGTTTTCATTATCAATGAATCTGGTGATTTTTTTCTTTAACACACACAAAGATATTCAGTGTCTTTATAGAAATTTCAACATCAGAGGATGGTTTCAATCCACTGACCTCTGTAATTACTAACTCTACATTCTGAGTTTTGTTCAGTGTTGTTAACCAGTGGTGGATTTAGAATAACTTTTTATTGACTTTTAAATAATGTTTGGTCCACAGCCCATGGAGAGAGCTCATTACTGGTACTACATGCTAGAGTTGGGTTTTTATGGCTCTTTGCTCCTCCGGATCTCTGTGGACATCAAGAGGAAGGTGAGGACCTCAACATTCATTCATTCATAAACACCATGGATTCCCTGCTGAGTTTGTAGCCTCACAACACATTTGCCCTTTAGAATACAACGTAAGCGAAGGTTTATCAGGTTTGCTTCAGCCCGGTCATATTTCATACATGATGGCTTGCACTTCTGCTTTAATGAGAAACTTCACTTAACACGTGGTTAATAAGTGATTATAGGAGCAGGAATTTTAATTCTATTTCTGACACACAAAGGTCATTTTGTTTTACAGAGTGGATAGTCTATATATGTTTGCTTTGCCAGGATTTTAAAGAACAGGTGATCCATCATTTGGCCACCATCTTCCTGCTCAGTTTCTCCTACTGTGCCAACTACATTCGCATCGGCACCTTGGTCATGCTGCTCCATGACTCCTCTGACATCCTGCTTGAGGTAACGTGCAATCTCACATACTCCGGGACAAATTACACCAATTTTCACAGATGTGTAGGCAATGCTGCTTTAATGTAACCTTGGAGGGACTCAAAAAAACAGCCCATGTAAGTAAAAGTCCCATGTCTCTAGGGCCAAAACTAAACACATGGGACCTTACAGATATAATTAATCTCTTTAGAACATGTCACCATACATTCACCTCCACGTTGGCAATTTTTCTGCCTCTGTGTAACCCTACCAAAGTGTTATCTGTATAAATGTACAGTCAGATGTTCATACTGTGCTTGAGGCTGTTCTTAGAAAATAAGTATCTAGTCTGAGATCTCTGGAGTAGCCTGCAGGACGCTCAACTATTCAGCAGGCGGATCCTGTGACCGAGTCCTGAGAGCTAAAAGTACTCTAGCAGCCTGAGGTGACTTTGATTTACCTGTAAGTAAAACACAGGATTGTAAATAAGAAACAAATTAAATATTTTAAAATCATTGTTTTATAAGGTTTTCTCTGGATTCTTGCACTCAGTAAGATAAGAGAAAATAAACAAAAACAGCACTATTATAAAGACACAGTAATGATGCTGATGACATACTGTATATACTACATATATACTGTACAGCACAGAGCACCATATGGAAGCCAACATTCACTCATCTACTTTCCTTTTATTAAAGACATGCTTTCCTGATTCTCTATTAAATTAAATTAAATCATTTCCCCCAGGGATTATTAAAGTATTTCTGATTCTGATTCTGATTTCTGATATTATCCTGATCCCCTGTCTTGGCTCATTAACTCTTTTGCATGATATTTAACTAATGTTATGTTTACTGTGATGAGTTCGCTTCACACGCAGCTTTAGTTATGGTTTGTATTTATTCGATCGATTCAGTTCGTTCCTATTTTTGCAGTCTGCCAAGATGTTCAACTACGGCTCTGGCTGGAGGAGAACGTGTGACGCACTGTTTGTTGTGTTTGCTGTGGTCTTCCTCGTGACTCGCCTGGTGATTTTCCCCAGCAAGTAAGGTTTACTCTTGATTCTAACTCTTGTTTTTATATTTTTGTCGATAGAATGTTTAACTACTTCATGCTGCACGGTTGACAACATTACTCCAATTGTTTGATTATTTAACAGAATCATCCATACCACCCTGGTACTGTCCATGGAGGTGTTTGAACCTTTTGTTGGCTACTACTTTTTCAACGTGCTGCTGATGGTGCTGCAGGCTCTTCACATCTTCTGGGCCGGCTTAATCCTACGCATGGTCTACAAGTTCCTGAAAGGCCAGGTGAGAATCAGCAGTTAAAGTTAAATTAACCACAGAGCATCGCAGACTAACATTTGTCATCCATGCATTGTAGCTTCCATACAGACGAGACATATGCAGTCAAGTCCTAAATTAGTAATAACATCCAAGAATTAGATTGTCAGGCACGTTTAACTCTGTATCTGCTCTCTCCAGCTGGAAAAAGACGAACGCAGTGATGAAGAGAGTGAGGTGGAAGAGGAAGAGGATGATAAAGGAGGAAAGGAAAATGTGGATCAAGAAGGAGATTACTGTTGGGAGAAAAGTAAAGACACCTTGAACTCCAAACTGTCTATGCTGACTAACAGCTGTGTCCTAAATAACTTGACCAACCACAGAGCGTCTGTAGCCGACAGAATGCGTAAAGCTCAGTAAAGTGTGGATTTTTTTAATCACATAAAGTCCCACTTTTGCTATCTCAAAACTGAAACAGCCGTGGTTTACATATAGAGTGATAGAGGATGGATGTGAGCCATTAACCTCTTTTCTGCCACTGTGCCTCACTTTTAATTGAGAGTGGAATTAGACGAGTAAAGCGGTGAGAGTTCTATCATTAGTCTTTGTAAAATGCTGATATAGCAGAGGATAGTTTCGATCTATCGACCTCTGGGTTATGGGCCCAGCACGCTTCCGCTGCGCCACTCTGCTACACACCCCAGATGGGACTCGAACCCACAATCCCTGGCTTAGGAGGCCAGTGCCTTATCCATTAGGCCACTGGGGCTGCTGCAGCTGCTGGGGAGCCCCTGTGAGCCCAGTTCATTGTTCAGTGGCGGTAGTAACACTGACACTATAAGGCTTTATGAGTTAAGATGGACAGGGATGGTAGTAGATGGTGTGTGAAGTACAATCAGAGGATCATGAAAATGTTCGGGGCCTGCCTGTCTGCCTGAGGTGTTTCTTCATTGTAGCTTACACTGCAGACTGTTTACACTGTTTGCACTCTTTGTTATTCAGCAAGTTCACAGAGCACATTTGAAAACAGCAAAACAAAAGATATAAACTTGGTAGCTGATGTAAGACCCAGTACAGACGCATAGAAGTGTTTTTTTTAATATTGTAAAATAATCAAATTGTTCCACAACATGCGATAGATGTTTAAATGGAGGAAATAAAGTCATAATTTTACTCTGCCATGCCTGTCTCTTGTAGTGATTTAAGACATTGAAATATTTTGTTCACTGTGAAGTATCTTTGTTAAGTTTTGACTGTTTATAACATAAAGCAAGGCAGGATTTGTGTACATTAACCTCAGAGAGTATCAGTATTTTATTTAAAGGGCATTTAGATTAAATGTGTCTATATCATATACAACCCAAGTGTGAATATTATCAATCATATAAACTGTCAATGATACAACCACAGACTGTGATGCTGAATAGCTTCTCCTGCACCGCAGTGCCACCTGGTGGTTGGGACCAGGATGACAACAATAGACTGAGTGCTTTCAAAATGTTTACCTGTAATAGATAATACCAGATAATAATTTCAAAGATGATGAAATATACGTTAATATGTAGGTTACATATACGTAATATCTGTTTGATTAAATATAACTAAACTCGAGTATGGGTGAAGCCGCACCTTTCCCAATCAAACACGTGATCAGATTTCTGCCCATGTACACAACTTGGTCATTTGAGCGATAAGACATTTTATTTATTTATTTATTTATTTTAAACCATCAACTTTTGGCTTCTTCGTCTGAAGAGTGAGGTTTGATTAAAATGTACCCTTTGTTAACGTTAACTATTAACGTGTTAAAATTAATGATATCTGAACACCTTTCCACGTGCAGTGCATAAGAAACGCTGGCTCGGCAGAAATTAGTCATCAATTGTTAATATGTTATTTTTAGTTTTACACGTGCACCGTTTGGTCTTTGTGGGGTGCATTTATGTTAACGGTCTAACATTAAATACGGAGCATATCGCAGCGCACACTTTAATATGAGAGCTAGCCTGCTGCCCCACAGTAAGTTCAACGTGAGGGCACATGTAAACTTTACCTCGACCGACATGTTGCATCGCTTTCTTATTAGCTGTTATCTTGTTAACGTTAATGTCTGGTATGCGCTTATCTTTTTTTAAATAACTTTTTAAAATGTGTATACGTCTTACGTACTTACTTAACGTTACGTCTATGAGTCGACATCTAGCGGTGTATCTTACTCTCTAAATGCGCTCGAGTGCAGCAATTCGCATATCGTAGCTGGCACAAGGTGGCGCTACTCCACCGCTGATTAACGTTATCATACGTACCGTTATCCATTGTGATCATCTACATTTCATAAGAGTTTATGTGTAGGTTGTCATGTATGTTCGTCTCTGTGGCGCAATCGGTTAGCGCGTTCGGCTGTTAACCGAAAGGTTGGTGGTTCGAGCCCACCCAGGGACGGCGATTCTTTATGTCCTTTGTTTCTCCATTATATTACAGTTTTGAGATATTTTGGGAGCTGCCGCCTGAAGGCGTATGGTTTAAACACATCAGATCGTCACCGCCAATTAATCTACAACATGTCACCACCTGCCATCTACAAACCAACCCTCCTCCACCTGTGCACGTGCGTCGGCAGAGTTGATAAAACTGCATGAGCTCGTGTCCTTTAGGCACAGGTCATCAAGTTACTTTTGTGCCTAATTACTGGTGATTACTTTATACGTAAGTGCAGATTTCATAATGTATTCAATTTTTATCGATTTTGTGAAATACTCTGCAGTAATTAACTGTGATGTTTTTTTTGCTGTGTAAAATTGGTATTTTACTCATTTAGTTTTTGAACTCTTGATTTATTCTTTAAGTAGTATGTTTATAGTATTGTCCACATAACCTGTCAATCTGCACTGGCAAACTGATTATAGTAAAACACCCTGCTGAAACAATGAAATATAGTAAATACAGCTGGACCTGGATAGTTAATTATAAATATCAGGAAATAACTTATTGTCATTTATCTACAGTCCTAGCAGCATGTTTAAAGAGTTTTTTTCATGTGGCTGTTAGTGTGATTTCTGTGTCTTCGTTGGGCCTCCTGAGTCTGACTGACACATTACCTGGCTTCTTTTTGGCCAGTAAAAATACAGAGTCCACTGACACCAAAATCCAACACAAAGAAGGTTTTTCAGTGTGAGCAGGGGAAATAAAATCAATATGTCCTATAGATCATTAACAGGGTGATGATGTGTGTTGTTCAATATTTAATATATTGTGTAATCAGCTAGGGTGGCATATTTTTTTTCACATGTAACTCAGTGGTTTCTCAACAACAAATCAATGGCTCAAAGGTCCTCATCTCTACATTAATTATTATTATTATGTTAAGAGCAGTTGATTTATCAAACAGCACTAATTACGTTGAACATTTACATTTAAAATCTGTTGTGTGATTTTCCAAACATTCTGTGTTTCTGCCTCTTATTGAGATGTCTAGAAATAAGAAAATCCCCTGAATGATCAGTTGTTATCAATAATCTTACTGCTCTGATCAATAAACTGTTCCAAATAGGATCAAATGAAATTAAGCAACCCCCTTTTCTCATATTCTCCCACTCTGCCCTTACATGTTAGCATTATATAGATTGCTGTGTAGTGTCACAATTCCAACATTGACATCTGAATAAACAATATATAAACAGCCAAACGATGCTTCTGCATGAACATATCTTTTATCAGAATCAGAATCAGAAATACCTTAATAATCCCAGGGGGAAATTATTTGTGTTACAAACTCCAGATATACAAACAACATATATTAAGAACAATATATATATATATATATATATATAAAAGATTCAAATGTACAGTAATAGTGTGCAAAAAGTGCAAAAAATGATTGTCCATGTTTGAGTCAGATTACAGAGAGGGGGTGTCTGACTCTCTGAGGGAGGCGTTATAGAGTTTAATGACCACAGGCAGGAATGATTTCCTGTGGCGCTCTGTGGTGCATCTGGGTGAGAGGAGTCTTCTGCTGAAGGTGCTCCTCTGCTGGCCCAGTGTGTCGTAGAGAGGGTGTGTGACATTGTCCAAGATGGACTGAAGCCTGGACAGCATCCTCCTCTCTGCCACAGTCACCAGAGTGTCCAGCTCCTCCCCCACGACATCACCGGCCCTCCTGATCAGTTTGTTAAGTCTGTTGTTATCTGCGACCCTCAGCCCACTGCCCCAGCATGTGACAGCGAAGAAGATCGCACTGGCCACAACAGACTCATAGAACATCCTTAGCATAGTCCGGCAGATGTTAAAGGACCTCAGCCTCCTCAGGAAAAAGAGTCGGCTTTGGCCCTTCTTGTAGACCGCCTCGGTGTTTCTGGACCAGTCCAACTTATTATTAAAGTACACCCCCAGGACTCCTCCACAGTGTCCACAGGTACCCCCTGGATGGAAACAGGGGTCACTGGTGTTTTCACCCTCCTCAAATCCAATATGAGCTCCTTCGTCTTTGTCACATTGAGCTACAGATGGTTCAGCTCACTCCAAGTGACAAAGTTGCCCACAACAGTCCTGTATTCATTCTCACCACCCTTTTCAATACAACCAAACTATTGCTGAGTCATCAGAAAACTTCTGAAGGTGGCAGGACTCGGTGCAATAGTTGAAGTCTGAGGTGAAGCGGATGAAGAGGAAGGGAGAGAGGACAGTCCCCTGTGGGGCCCTAGTGTTGCTGACCACCCTGTCAGACACACAGTTCTGTAGGCGTACGTACTGTGGTCTGTCCATCAGGTAATCAACAATCCAGGACACGATGGGGGCATCCACCTGCATCGCATCCATCTTCTCACCCTGTAGAGCCGGACGGATGGTGTTGAAAGCACTGGAGAAGTCAAAGAACATGACTCTCACAGTGCTCGCCGGCTTGTCCAGATGAGACTCTGTTCAGCAGGTAGATGATGCAAATATTATTATTATTATTAATATTTTAATGTGATACGATTCCATCTACATCAAAGGAAAACCTCCTTTATACATAGAAGTATGGCTAACACTCCATCAACCTGCCATTTGAGTCGCACCTTTAAATGTAAGTTTCTGGGTCTGGCCATCACCAACTCACAGCCACTGTTTAGTTTCGAGATATCTCCCCTGATCAGCAGCGGGTCATCTTTGCTGGGAAACATGATGGATGCAGTGTAGGTTCAACTCCCACCGTGACAAACTATCACTGAATTATAAGTATTGTTGGCTATAGTATATTTCAGCGTTGTTGCATCATGATCATTTCTTTCCCTCCCCTCGTCCCCTCGAGTCCACCCTCCACCTCGTCCTGTGTCTGAGAGGTGGTATCACTGTCTGAGACAGCTGGCTCAAACTGTGAGGAGGAGGATCGGCCAAAGTTTATTTGTTTAATGTTTATATATTTCATATCAAAATGTGTCAGATGTACTGGTAAGACTGTGTTATAACTGCTTACGGATCCTTGAGTGGTTCTCAAATTGTGGGATGAATGGTGGAGGGTCATTGCAGGGAGGACGAACATTACTGCGTGGGGAAACTGTGGAACAAATAAAAGTTAAATGAATTTGATTCATGTGGGAACAAACAAGATCAGGGTCACACTAGACAATAAAAACCACCAAGAGTAACATTTATTTTTGACAGGGAAGAAAAGAAAAACAGATGATGATGATTGGATTATAATTGTTGATGCATTCATGCATGTGTACAGTATACTGCTGGATAGCCTTATCTATAATACAACATCAATTTATTTACTTTATTACATTTTGTATTAATAAAAGTAACTAAAGCTATCAGATATATGCAGTGGAATGAAAAGTATAATATTTGCCTCAGGGTTGCAGTGGAGTAGAAGTATAAAGCAGCATAAAATAGAAATACTCAAGTACAATACTTGAGTAAATATACTTAGTTACATTCAACCATTGCAGATGAGCATTGTGTATTCTGTGTCCTAAAAGTCTGGCAGTTCAATCAAAATGTAACTTTTTTTCATTTACAGTAATTGATGACAAACGTGGTTGATGTTGTTGATGATGTAATTTAAACAGTTTTTGTTGGTTTGTTGGTAGAGTTAAAGTAGTTTGCACAGTTCCAAGTAGAATGTAATTAGTGTTATTAAAGACTTTATTAAACCATTAAGCCATTTAAATTACTACCGACTAGGGTAAGTGATTTGTGTTAGTTGTGTGCTTATAAATGTGAAAAAGATGTGTTGGTTGGACTGGATAATTATTATTATATCTGACAGTTTGTTTTCTCTCTCGTCAGGTGTTACTCTGGTTTACATCCATGTGCTGTCAACTGCCACAACAAGAATTGTGGACACACCAGTAACCCCAGTCCCAAGAAGAAGCTGAGGTAGTGAACTCAGTAATCAATATTGTCAATTTAACAAGATTGATGGTTTCTCACTTACTGTTTTCTTCAGAATATTTTCCTGGTTTGTTGATACAGTAGCTACATATGACCAAAAGACAGAATATTAACACATTTGCAGTGTGTTCAGGTTGTCTATTGAACACTCAAACTGTTTAAAGATGATTTATAATTATGAATCAATACCCAATCAGATTTACAGTCCACCCGATGTGATGACAGGTGGCCACTGTCAGCTGTGTCTGTGTTGCAGATTAGTCAGTAGGATAATGTTGGATCTTATTTTCTCGATCTGGAGGCCTCAATCACAAAAAGAACTAAAGGAAAATGTGTTCATAGTGACAATAAAAAAATCATACCAACCAAAATGACATTTTTCAAAGTCAACAAGCTACTTAAAAGAAAACCCCTTGGTCACTGAGCATTGTTCCCTGGAGGAACTGCGGGTAATGTAATTTGTGAAGCTGTTTCAGTTTCTACCCCATTTATTCTGCTGACTCAGGGATCGAAGTGGCCACCTTCTGGTCACCAACCTGCTTCTCTAACCTCACACTGCAAATGCACTTTTCCATGACATTGCTTGTTTGACCAAATAAGTGACATATAAAACAAACAAAAACACCAGTAAGAAGTATGAATGACTGAGAGTATTCTTTGCTTTTATTTCCAAACCGTCATGACATCAGCTCAGAGTTTGAGACATAGAGCTGGCATGACTATCAACAACCACCCTTAAAATAGAACAATAAGGCTTGAAAAAAACAATACAAACATAGCATCATGGAACATTAAACAATACAGTCTGTGTGACAAAAAGACTCATTGAAGGCGTATGGCATATTGTCCACAGCTAAAGGTAACGTGCTGAAAAATGACAAAAGGCAGAAAATGTCTCTTAAATTTCCTCAAATGCATCATAAATAAGTTCCTAAGTCAGCGGCCTGTTAATAGATGATGCAAAAGACGATTATTCAGACTGGGCCAGTCCAAATGCCAGTTAAACTTATCTGTAAGACTATGTGAGGACTTTCATTTCTCTTAGTGATACAGTTATTAATAACTTAATAACTGTAGCATTATTGATTTATATTGTGGAAAATACTTACTTACCCTAAACGTAATTTCTTCATGTATCTTATCTACTAAAATGTACTTTTTATCTTAGATTTAAAGGTTTCTTAAGAGCTTAAGTGAAGATGTGATAATAGATAAGTTGCTGAAAGGCCTTATCAATGACTCTGCTCTTAACATTTGATCTTTGGTGTTAATATTCAGATCTAATGTTCAAGTGTAGCCATGCCTTACCCGAATATAAAGCACTATTAGCGTACTATTTTACTGACCTTGAGTATATGGCATTGCTTATTCCTGTGGCACCAACTAGAACCACTGTATCCACTTATAGCTTCTACATTATGCGTGGTAACTATAAGACCGTACACAAGTTTATCTCATCAAACTTTGTTAGCTGTTTATTCAATAATAATGATGTTGTATGTAGGCTGTTAGATAGGCAAGAGTCATTTTGTCTTATGTGCGGTTTTTTTTGCATTGACATTTTTTCTGAATGTCCCGTCCCTTTCTCCATTTGCATGGACTCATTTAGTTGTAAAGATGTTTAAAGATCACCTGTCTGTTGAAAGAACAAAACAAAACCAAGGCCTCTTACGATTCATATTGACACTGCATCGCCATTTTGTATACAAAAGTCATGAAAAACTACAAGCACCACTTCTCAATATTAAATGTCTAGCACTGTGAAGCACTTACCTTAAAGTTGGTTTATTGCACTGAATGTTACCCTTGAAAGCAACATGAAGCGTTACATTAGATTGGACAAGCAAAACCAGGTATATGCTGCCGCCTAGGCCGACACCTACAGTATGTTGTTGAGTACAGCACAGCCACTGCTGCAACTCAGACATGGAGGAACCTTCCTGCAGCCGAGGTGGTTCTTGTGCTTGAAGAGGACATGGGACCAGCTCCATCTGTTTTCAGTTTACTCCCTCGCTGCATTGGCCACAACAAAATTTAACCCCGTCATCTTTTCCATCTCTCTCTCGCGTTGGATTTTCCCCATTTTATCGCTCTTATTTGTCGATGAGTTTAACCAGGCTCTGGCGGAGGTCATTAAGGTCAAAGATCTTGATGTCCAGAATTTCGATGGCCCTCTGGATTTCAGAGTCCATGCGATCCCGTTCCTCCAGAGAGTTATTCAGGTTCTGCTCTGAGTTCTGGATGCGGCGCTCCAACTCTGAATTGCGCATCTCTGTCTCCTGCAGGGAAGAGGAGGCAAAGGAAGAGGGAATGTTTAAAAACTAATGCTGTTGTTAATTTTACTACTGAGTATTTCCCTTTTATTCAACAAATATGTACAGAATTTATGAAAGCATATCATGTTGCTGTAATAATCTCACTCCTACCCGTAATCTGTGGATGGCCTCATCCCTCTCGTGTTCCATCTCGTGGTACTCAGCTTTCTTGCTTTGCAAAATGTGGATTTCCTGGAAAACAATGAAAGGTACACTTGGAGTTTGAGTGGCTGAAACATTCATCAACACCTGTGATCAAAATCACAGCTTCCCATATTTGACTCCAGTCGATGATAAAATGGAATAATAACTACCAACCTCGTCTTTGGCCTTCAGCAGGGCCTCCAGCTCCTCCAGGGACTGGGTCAGCTCATCCTTCAGCAGGTCACTGGGGCCTTGGCCTCCATGGGCCTCTAATTCAGCCACCTTACAACACACACACACACACACACACACACACACACACACACAGAAATTAAATAATGTTCAGCATGTGGGACACGGCTTCACACAAAAATCCTGGGGTGGAAGTTCAGTCTCTCTGCCATCCCCACAGCATTCAGTATTCTGATCCTAAAACGACAATCATCTTACATTTATGCCCACAAAGTCTCTCAGGGCGGCAAACGGGCGCCTCTTGATGTTTCCGATAAATTCTAATGAATAGAGACTGAAATATGTTGCCTCTCGCAATCCAAACAATTGTCCTACTTGTCTGATATTTTGTTCTTTTATTGTGAAACAATTATGTTTTGTGTATGGAGCCTGCGTGGATATCTATGCTGAAATTAAAAATCATAGTCTAATACATCTGATTAATATGTATATATAATAATAGCATATTATGAAAAAAAGTTTTAATCAGGGATCTTAGCATACACATAAAACATGAAACACATACTGATCTACAAAGAGGAACACTCAACACAGCTCATCTCTTCAGGGGCTTCAGTTTCTTGCCTGTTATGACCTGTTTACTACAAATTAAAACATGTTATAACTTCATCTACAACTAGGATTCATCAAGAAGGATAGATGAGCGAGTCCAGTCAGCATTATCGGGTAAACAGGAATGAAATCTTCACTGCGTTGTCATCTAAGCCTCATGAATCAGAAAAAACACAAGGACACCTCTAAAATGACAAAGACAGGCTGTATTATTTCAAACCATGTATGGCTGAATTGAAGAGGAGCTGTAGAAAAGAAGAAAAAAAAAGAAGAAGCAAGAAACGAGTGGATGCCAGCTCCCTCTGGTGATTTTTCATTTTTTCCTAACTGGGGCATTGAAAGTAGGATATTGCTGTCCTACAAACCCCTCTTTCTCTCTCACACCACCCCAGAGACGTGAACCATTTTCAGCCACCTGGTCCCCTTCCTCAGATAGAGGGAACGAGCTCGGTCCAAAGGAGACAGAGACGGGGTTCTCACTTAATTTGTTGATGAGGACCAAAATGGTGAAAACTGTTTTTAAATACCAGACGAGTGGCAGAGAATTAAAAGCAGTGATCGATACTGTAAAGCCGTGCTATAATGGAAAGGGACTAAGGTATTAAAGCATCGAATCAGAGGTTTGTAATTGTCAGCCTGAGGCAAGGTTGTTCCCAGAGGAATCAGCCACCAGCAAATGTGAAAATACCCATTATTGATAAGTGAGGAGAGAGAGGGCAGAGGCATCTGCATCCACTGGAACCTGAGTGGTAATTCAAGTGTAAAACCCTCCTGAGGCTCTGCGTATTCAGACCGAACTCCCTTGTGGTGAAATGTGACATTCGTCGAGTGCACAGTGAACCGGTTCAACCAGCAGAGAACACCTTGATTAAAGCCTTGGAGGGAAAACGCCTGCAGCACTAGTCATGTCAAAGAATGATGAAGTGTGTTACCAGCCTGACCAAGTTGCCTTTTTTTTCCTTTTCTCATTCTTCTGAACAAGTACTTTCGAACCAAGAAATCAAAACCAGCACGACCTCCCTCAGCAGAGACAAATGTGTGACGAGTCCCGTCAGCCTCACCTTGCTCCTGTTTGAGCGAGGGTTCACTCCAGCAATAACCATCAAGTTCTGCCTTGCAGGTTACTACAGAATGAACAGGCTGCACATGAAGACCAGAGGACTTTAGAAGCCGCGAGAGAGAACAACTACTTTTCAGTGTTGGACTCAATAATGCGTGACGGGTTTTTGGCCCGATTTAACTTCTCATTAACCAGCGGTGTCTAACCTTGAACAGACTTGTTTCAGCGCTCACCTCTGTTACTAGGGACGCTGTTAAGATGTCTCTATCATACATGAAATATGTAGCTTTGAGGTCAACTATCCCACTAAGCTTTTCATGTAACAGCTAATCCATCCATCAACCATCCATCCATCCATTCACCTAAACCGCTTATCACGTAGCATGCACTGGGTTAGAGGCAGCGTCTATTACAAAAGATATCCTTAATGGAAATCTCTCTTTTTCCTCCTCATCCAACAATGAACATTCTGATATGTTTAATATTTAATTTTAAAATAAATGTATTATACCAAGCACCATTTAGCTCTATCGTTTAATTATCAAGCATATACTATAAAAAAACTATTAAAAAAACCTATAAAACTATAACTATAAAAATATAATTTACATAACTGATATTAAAAAGAAAAATCACCTTTATTCTGCTGTTACAACAAGAAGCAACTCAAACCATCTGGTTTCTAAAAATTATACTCTAGATTAGGCATCCACGTATTTATTTCTAGGAAAACTAATTTAATATGTGACGAGATATATTTACACACTTAAATTTAGAAGTAGGGGTGTATGAGGAGGATGTAAAGGCAGCGACACTCTTCTCCATCTCCACACAGCTGTTGAACAACCTGAGACTTGTGATTTGGCTCACCTGGTCTCGGAGTCTGTCCGTCTCCTCCTGATACGCTGCTAGCTGTTTCTTCCACTGCTCCACGTTAGCATTAGCCTCATGCAAAGCTGCCACCAATTTGGAGTTGCTGTCCTGCAGAGTGAAGAGCTCGGCTTCCAGGTTCATCTCACAGATAGACCTGAAAGACACAAACACAAACTGTAAACCAGTGACACACACACATATATTACATATAATAATGCACATACAACCCTTATGAAATTATGGCTTATATGGCACATGGTTATTCTGTACTGAAAGTGCTCAGAATGTTTTAATCAGAGTTCAGTCATGAAACACTGCAATATGAGGCAAATGTTTACTGAATACTATAGCTGGCTGTGTAGTAACTGCTGCTGCCAAGAGTTTGGAACATGATGAAACACTGTTGGCCTGGTTAACACAAGCAGCGAGCCACTATAAGAAGGCTATACCCAGGACTGCAGCAGCAGCAGCAGCAGCAGCACACCTACTACCCAGACTGAAGGTCATTTCACAGATCTTATAACAAAGCAAAGATACACTCATTAAAATGCCCAGAGAGCAAACAACAAGACCAGGCTGTCCCCACAATAATCCTCTAATCCTGGAAGGCTTTTATTTAAAAGTCATCTTTATCAAAAGACTGAACGTGATATTGAAACACTACTTTTTCACATGTAGGAATCTAACTATGTTGGATGAAGGAGTAGAAAATAGAAGTTTTCTGTTTTTTTTGCATTACTATGATACTATCCTCCTGACAGCCCAATCTTACTTGGGATTGCATTTACAAGGAATTTAGTCCCAATATATGATACAGTCATTGTATGGCCTATATATATGCAAGTTAAAACTACAAATTGCATAACAGATACATGAAATCATTAAATGTTATCAATTTCAATTGATTCTGGTGCAATCTGCAGAAAAGATCAGTCAGACTCTCTCTTCATCCATGATCCTTCGCCTTCGCTCTGTCCTTCTACATCTAGAAAGCTTGAGGTTGTTCCATGGCAACAGTTTACCATGGCAACCATTCAGGAGCAGCTTTCTGTCGTAATAATTGGACTGTAGGACATAAAAGCATTGTGGGTGGCTCAAAGGACTGAACGAGGAGATGTTTACAAGCCTTATTTGATGTTGTGTATGAGTCAACGCCTCAACAATGGCCTCTTCGGTTCCTAGAAGGCTTAACAAATCAAATTACGTCAAACTTTAATAAAACCAAGAAATGAGAACCACGTAAATACTCAGTGATCACTGCTGGGAGGGAAGGAGTAAAAGGGAAAGGAGTACCTGCTTGAGTGCTTCCAATAGTATTGATCAACTTAAATCATGAAGTTCAGCTGATGGTAGAGTTACTGTGTCCAAACTACAATGTGAATACCAGCACCATCACATGGATGATTCATTTGTTTAAGCTGACAAAATTGCATAATTACTAATATTACTTGAAATAAATTTCGTCGTTTGGAGAACCAACCAATGACAGCCAATGAAGATTTTAAGTCAGTCGTTGTGCTTCTCTTGAAGCTTCAAGCTCAGTTCCACACGTTTGTGAGGACTGTATAAAGTGAGAGATAACTGGAGTTTTTCATCTTGTTTCACATCAGACATCAAGCTGAAACTGTGTGTGCAGGCGAGCAGAACAGACAGAAACTGGGAGTCTACGACGCAACTAAAAGAACAAGTAGACACACAATCACCAAGTTGACCCAAGACACTCAACAACTACACAAAACAAGCACTTCACAAAGGGGTTCCTATCACAGTATTGTTTGAACAGAAGGTAAGATCTGAGAAGAACAAGGAGAGGAAAGTGTTTGTGGTCTCTTCTGTATGTGTATGTGTGTGTGTGTGTGTGTGTGTGTGTGTGTGTGTGTGTGTGTGTGTGTGTGTGCATAGCTCGGTTACCCTTCAGAGAGCATCTTCTTAATGCGCTCCTTCTCAGAAGACAGGGTGATGTCCGCGCTCTGGCTGCGGAACAGCTTGTCCTCCGGTCCATTCACACACATCACCGGTGGAGACTGGAGTTCATCCGAGAGGTCCTGAGAAACACATCAGTAAATGGACTCCACTAATAACACACACACACACAAACACACACACAGCATTACAACACCAAATGGATTATTCACTACTTTCAGGTCTTTCAGAAACCCTTCACATCAAAGTCCAATAAAGACTGTACGAGGTTCTTGTACTCTGCTGGAGTCTTTTCTTTTTCTACTTCTACTCCTCTACATCTCAGAGGGAAATATATTGCTTTTTACTTTATTACACTGTCACAGATTAAGTAACTAATTACTTTGTAAATTAAGATTTTTCAAAATATTATATTTAGTTAAACTATCCAACAGTAAATACAAGTACAGCTGAATTAACCGATGAATCGATTGACAGAAAATTAATTACAAAATAAGTTGAGAATAGAATTTTGAATGCAAAAACATTTCATGGTTCCATCTTAAAAATGTGAGGGATTTTTGCTTTTCCTTTAAAACATCTGAATTATTCAAATGTAATTTTTAATAATTTTGAGGTGTTTTCTATTGAGGTTTTTTATTGGTTGGACTTTTCTCACTATTTCGTGACTTTCTACAAACCAACCACTCAATGAATGAATGAAAATAATCAGTCCTATACAATATAGTTAAAAATATACTATAACTGTTATAACTATAACAGTAAAATGCTGCTTTTACATTAATGCATGACTAATAATCAAATGATATAAAACAAAATAGTATAATAGTCACAGTGGAGATTTACTTTTAATACTTTAAAGTACATTTTCAATGTAGGACTTTTACTTGTAACAGAGCATTTTTACAGTGTGGTATCAGTACTTTTATTCAGGTGAAGCAAGGATAATTCCTCCACCACTGGTGAGCTGTATTACTGAGATAGCTGTGGTGTCTGTTTTGGCCTGATAAAAAAAAGAGCTATCTGCACTCACAGCAGGTATAAATAAATTCTAAATTCATGGGCAGACAGAAAGGAAGAGAAAGATTTATTTTAACACATATTTCTTTGCGTGTTAAATTACTCCCAGAGACAGTTTCTGTCAAATAATAAATTTTTCTCAAGAGTCAGAAGATAAAACAACAACGACAAAGACTCACCTGTGAGAACTACAGAGGAAATCCATCAGGTGGGGAAAACAGACAAAGAAACAAGTCATCACAATGCTCCCAATACATAATGACCTTTTAGAAAAATATCACAACCACGAGCATACTTAGTGTGATCAGTTATGCAGCACAGCGCTACTTAGCGAGAATCAAGCACAATTAATTGACGCAGTTGGCAATTTTCTGGAGCTTTGGCCTCTCCAGTGTGTTCATTAAATCGATAAAGACGTGGTGTGAGAGACATCACTTGGAATCTGTTCATCCGTAGAATTAGAAGGAAATGGGCATGTTCTTCATGACCAAGCAGATGTAACTGATGGGTAATTATTCTCTATTGATCAAAAAAGGCCCTGAGCTGACTACATTTTCATCATTACAGAGTTGGAGGAGGGGGCTCCTCGGCAGCAGTCGGTAGAAACTGCGGATGCGGTGCACTGCTGAGCGGCACGGGATAATTTTACCATCGTCCTAGTTTCTCTCACTTTCTCTTCCCTCCGAGACAAGTGACCCAGCTCGTCTTTCTTTTGCTTTTCCCTCTCTCTCTCTCTCTCTCTCTCTCTCTCTCCCTCTCTCTCTCCCTCTCTCTCTCTCTCTCTCTCTCTCGCTCCATCCCTCCCTTGATTTAATCACAGCGGCCCTGTCTAATGCAAACTAACAGAGGTGCATTCATCTAACCTTGGCCTGTGCTCACAGTGTCTCCCCAATCCTAAAATGCGAAAAATGCATCACTGGGTATTTCTGTGGCTCCTGACAAAGGTTTAACATTTACACTTCCTGTCTGATACCTGCAGAGGTTTGCTCTACTTTCATATTCACATCTTTTTCTAAAAAGGGGAGAGCTCACCTGAGGAGCAGCGATGTTGAGCGCCGTGTTGGCCAGTTCTTTATCCTGCGACTTTTCCCGTGCCAGACGAGCTGCATCTTTCACCTCCTTAAACTTATCTGAGAACTTTTCAAAAGAGGACAAGTGATAAACTGTTTCAGGTAATGAAACATTAATAATGCAGCACGAATCAGACTCTGGAAATGTATTTCTCAGAGCTTTAACCTCTGTTGACTTTGGGTTAGTTTACCTGATGCAGCTGTTGCTCTGTAGCAAAACCCAGACCATACACAGTGTTGGCCCTGCTGTCCGCCCACTGTCCAAACTTCTGGGACGTCTTGGTAAATGTCATGCTGGGTGTAACAGTGCAGTTGATGATTGCCTGCAAATGCAGAGATAACAAAGATGATTCAGGTGGGTTCAGTTCAGCAGCAAGAATCCAGACAAAACTAATTATCTGAAATGATTAATAGGTATTTTGTATTACCTTCCTTATTTTAATTAACATTTCATTACTTCATTTCTAGGCCCTGCCTATTCTCTGCTTAGTCATATCAGACCCTGTAGCACTATAGCACTATATATTCTGTACATACATTGTAGTTGATTCTTTTCTTATTCTTAAGCAGGAACAACAATAAACTGCATAAGCAAATTAATAGATGAACTATGATGAGCTTAAGTATTAAGGCCGATATTTCAGAAACACTAGATTCTGGATTTACGAAAAATGCAACCAGCAGCATCTTACCACTTGTAACAAACATTATCAGTTATATATTTGAGATACTCCTCATGACTTAGTAACTTGCTTTCAGTGTAAAATTAATGCCCCGTCCCCTCCCCTTTGACACTTTTTTCAAATTTTAACATACAACGGGCATATCTTTTCTTTTTAAATCAAAATAGAAATATAAAATACTATACAAAATATTTCAATAGACTGAATTACCTTAAATTGTTTTAAACTTAAAATTTTGTGCCAAAACTACTGTTGAGAAGTTCTTTTACTAATGTCATGCCATTATTTGAACACAGCACCTACATAAAACTTGTCAACACGGATAATTTCACACTTCACACGTTTTCTGGAAGAGTGAAGAACACAGGAAAACGTCTGTGCTTTTACATTAAAGATGCATTAACGTTCCACTCGTCCTGGCAATCACCCGTTTTCAAACACTTTTTTCCCTTGAGACATATTTGTTCTTTTGTTTGTTCTGAACATGAGCAAAAACCAAAGATCTGCCACATCACAAGCACTTATTGTTCAAAGTAGATTCAGAGCAGAGGCATGGAAAGCAGTAAAGATACACAAACACAGCACATACACCGGGTTCATGACCTCACTCTCAGAGACATGTCCGAAGCCACCTCTTTCCCCCTGAGCGCATGAGGAAGAAAATATTAGAGCGGACCTATTTATAAACCTTTTTACGTCATCCCCAGACCTACAATAATGGAACTGATTTAAAATCCCAGAATTGCAGGGCAGTGGCAGCTTAGGAGGAAGCTTTTTCGTCCTTCTCTCCCCTCCAACAAATGATTACATGAACTCTACAGTCTGCATTTCTGCGCTGACATGTTTGACATAACGTGTTGGACGGTGGCAGCAGCAGTGAAGATTATTCTGGAGCCAGACACCATTCCTGGCAGGATTGGGCTGCTGACCGACCAACTGCCACCCCGCACAGCCTTCTGGGAGGCAGAAATGTGGGTCAACCCAGAGGTGCTAAGAAGAGATCAGATAGATCCCCCATCCCATCCTCCTCTACAGTGATGGATGTGGCCTCTTCTTCCTAATCTAAATCCACAAGCCTGTGAGAAAGACGCTCTAGCTGCTGAGTTGTTGACACCCACTGTGTTTCTGTTTGTTCATTACATATTTCTTAAATTTACTGATTTTCTGGACAGAGGAAAATCAGTGTTGCTGCTGTTTGAACTGTTTTGTTTGGTCTGTGGCTTTGTTAACCATCTTCACTGCAATCAAACAGAACTCAGAGATAGATGCTTTAATTAGACCCCCACCGATATGGATATTTTGAGACTGAGACTGAGATTAATGGCAGCCGATACGGTGACTTTTTGAGCTGGAATGCAAATAGACCAATTTTGACTCCTCATCCAATTCTAGAAATTAATACACAAAATAAAATATTAAAAAATAAATAAATAAATAAATAGCTAGAGTATTGTAGAAACTACAAACCTTTTTGCATTATATACCAGAAAAAACACATATGATGATATGGGCGGCCATACGTGATACGATACTGATATGTCTGCAATAGGCCAATATCGGTCGACCTATCATCAGGTTTCTAGTTTTAATTATGAGAGCTACAGGGTTCACACTTTAGTTCTGGATATCAAATCTACTTGAACTATATGTATATGTCTATTTTAGTTTAGTTTAGTTTAGTTTAGTCTACTGTCAACATTATTGTCTTTTTTACCATTTCCCTCCCCCTCACCTTGGTCCCGCCCACGCTGATGATGCGGTAGACGTTGCGGTTGGCATCGTAGAAGAAGGACACCGTGACGGCATGTTTGCTGGCGGGGATCCAGTTCCTCTTGGTAGTGGGGTCGATCTGGAAAACATGGGCCCGGGCGCTGAAGATTGGCTGCTCCCTGGAGGACAAAAAACACAGGAATGATGATGAGATACTGAAAGAAAGTTGTTTCTGTATAAAGGAAATGTCAAAGGCCAAAACTTTCTCAGTCTATTAACAGGGGTTTAGAAGTAAATTAATACAATGTGGTTAACTCCGAGGGAAGAGTAGGCCGTTCTGAACTTCTTAAAAACTAGACAAAAAAGCCTCTTTTTTTTAAGGAAAATGTTTTTTCTCTCATGATTTAAGCATCAACACATTAAAAAACTTTTCCATTAAAAACCAATTATCATCTAAGTCTGTTCAAATTGTGTTTCTCTTTTGTTTAAAAAGGTCCTTCATTATTTTGATAATGGTGCATCTCCATCTGTCATCTAGAGATGTTGGAATCATCCTCTGGCGTTCTCCCACTCTTTTCCCTGCATCATTCACCAGCCATGACTTAGCCGGTAAAAGATGTTGACTAAAAACGCACTGAACCCTCTCCTGAGTCGATCACCCTCCGCCCTCTGCTCTGCTCCTGCCAGTATTTGCAGAGACGTATCCTGGATACGAGGTAAATATATCAAATCAACAAGTGCTGGGAGGGGGTTTAGCCACTGCCATGTGGTATGAATAGCAAGACTGCTAAAGGCCTTTCTCTCTTTTTAACTAAGCCCAGTCAGTCCTGTACAAGCACTGTGTAACCCCACACTGAAAATAAAGCAGAGTACACGTGACAAAAAACTTAAAACTTAAACTTATGTGTCTGTCTAGGTATGCAACCAAATTTCACTCTGAAAGTAACTGAAGTCACAGTGTAGACCATCAAACTGTTTTCTACTTCGTACTTACTATAGACCTTTTTCACAGCAGCCATTTTAACATGAAATAGTAGGGTAAACACAGGTGTTACCAATGATACTAATTAAGGTCCTGTTCCATTTAGTGTAGCAGAGCTTTTCCAGTAACCAACATACAATAGGAGCACTCTGACTCTGTTTGACCTGAATGGACTAGAACCTCAATTAGTATTATTTGTAACACCTGTGTTTGCCCTACTGTTTGGTGTCAAAAATGATGTGTTGTGAAAAAGGTCTATTCAAGGCTAAAACAAGAGTTTACAGCCATGCTAGCGGCTCTACAAGGCTGTATTTTGGCACAGTGGTGCTTTGTGGTAAATGGGAATGTCAGCATGCTAACCTGCTCACAGTGACAATGCTCACATGTTGATGCAACCAGGTATAATGTTCACTATGCTCACCATCTCTGATGACCCTGTTAGTAGGCTAACATAGCTGAGGCTGGAGAGAATATCATTAGTTAAACATTTGGCCTCCTGGTGGCGCTATAGGAAATGTCTGTAGGATTCATCCTCTGAAGACCATAAATGTCTGTATTAAATTTAATGGCATACCATCTTATAGTTGTGAGATATTTCAGTCTGGATCAAAGTGCCATCCCTAGAGCGACAGCAGTAACTAACAACACAAATAACTTGCTACACTGACAAGGTCACAGATCAATGCCAATATGAAGGCCAAATAACCTCACTAATAAAAAAATCAAAGGATGAAAAGCTGAAAAACTGGACTGTCCATCCCATCATATGGCTCAAGAGGAGCTCCAGACATACAAGACTGAGTCGTTCATTGTGAATGTCTTCTCTCTGAAATGTCTTTAAATTTCTAAATCTTTTGGTGCAGACAATATGGACACAGACTAGACTCTCAGTGATAAAAGAGATGGCAAGATGTTGCTGTTCATCACTCTCTTTATGCCTAAAAGAGGTTAAAGTTAAAGTATGAAATGGTAAAGAAAAACCAGGACACTTCTTCTTCTATGCAGTATTGTAAATTGCACTCGCTGTTCCCAATAGAACTGTAGTATTTTGGCCAGTCATTGTACATTTATATCCGACCCCATTAGTGACATACAAATCCAGTAATGGTCTATCAGTGTATACTCACTGTAGGAGATCACGATAGAAAAATAAACATTACATTGTACATAAACTGTGTTCCAAGGACTGACTGTGAAGATGTTGACATGAACTGTGGCATTTCGACGGCTGACCCACTCCAGTTGGATAATAAGCTGTGCTATAATTTTCCTTCTCATCTCACACTAATCCTTGTCAGTGGATCTCCTGCTCGAACCTCTGATCCACTGATTTGAGGCCTGACTGGTACAAGACACAAGGATGAGAGCTGTCTGTTTGAAGACGGAGGTCAGACTTGTGCTCTGCTCTTTCTAACGATACAACTGTCATATAAGAACAACGTCGCTGTTCTGAGTAAAGCTTAGTGCTTAGGTAGGAATTTGACTTTTACATGTTAAAACCATCGGATGCCAGTGAAGAAGAGGGCAAGTTGACATATAATTCATTCTTTATGCCAAAACAAGGAACTTAAAGCCACCAAAACATTTTAAGACACCACTCCTTCACTCTCATAAAGTTGGGTTTCTTGAGTGAGACAAATCAAAACAATAATGATCCAATTTGAAGCAGCAGAGGCTGATATATCCTGACTTTTACTCCCTAGTATGAGTCAAGGTTCAAATATACAGGATCCTACAATTCCCACAATGCAATTCAACTGCATCTCTTGTTGGACCTTTCCTGCCTCTGCCTAAATGAATGCCCTCATATTTCAAACTCCATGCCTCTAGATTATAAAGTGGGTTTCTGTCTATAAATATATATACAGACAGGTGAAGAAATTAAAGGACATGAAGTGTCACCACTTGCCAGCAGAACAGCTTCAGTGCACCTAGGCATTGATTTTACAAGTCTCTGTAACTCTACTGGAGGGATGAACACCATTCTTCCAAAAGATATTCCCTCACTTGGTGTTTTGATGATGGTGGAGAGTGCTTTTTAACATGTTGGTCCAAAATCTTCCATAGGGGTCCAACTGGGTTGAGATCTAGGTATTGCAAAGGTCATCTAATATGATTAATATATATGTATGTATATAGCGTATGCATATATATATATATAAATATATATATATATTTATATATATATATATATATATATATATGATAATTTTCATACTCATCAACCCATTCAGTGACCCCTCGTGCCCTATGGTTGGGTGCATTGTCATCCTGGAAGAGACCACTCCCATCAGGATAAAGGTGATTACTCAGAACAGCTTGTAGTGAATCTTTCCTCTAAACCATGACAACAAAACACCCCCCACAGCACAACAGACTGTGCACTGCAACCCTTCTATAAAATCCCTCGAAAGAATCAGAATCAACTGGACCGGCTCAGCGTTTGTACACATACGACAGAGCAGGATTGGCTGTAAATGAATAACTGTACCATGCAGTGGACCTGTGTTAGTATATATTATGTATGTATGTTTTTGAGATAGCTTCTCCATAGCCACAGAAGACATAATACAATTGTCTTCACAGGCAGAGTGATAGTCGTGTAAATAGAGAAATTTCCCTTTGGTGGTTTGGTGTCTGTGCTCTCTCATACTGAACGTGTGCCATGATGGGATGAACCAGAGCTACATGTTCAGGTCCACTGCTACCCCCCTCACCAACCACGAATCAAACCTGCAACCTCCTGTGGGGGAGTTGGGTGTTACACGATCAGAACTACATGTTTGAACAGAAGATCGCTGGGTCCAAGTGTGTGTTTGTGTGTGTGTTTGTGTGTGTGTCATCTGTCGCCACTTGCTCCTTCCTGTGTGTGAAAATTGTCGTTAAAACACACTCTGGGTGTGTAACACAGTGTGTGTGTGCTCATGTTAACTGGTCAACACTCACACTTCTCAAGGATGTTCAGTTGGTCGACCTTTATCCTCAGCAGATGGATGTGGCCTACAGGGCTTAACGGGGGTCTATAAGGATAACAAAGCCTGGTGGCGATTGGATGGAGGTCAGGGCTGCACCTCAGGATGAATAACCCCACTAATTCCTACGACAATCTAACAGTATCCACAAGCTCCTTTATTGGGTTTCTCCTGTCTCCCTCTGGTCTGATCCAACTAAATCTTTTTATACACTGATGTTAAACAGCAGAAACACAGATTTGTTCATTTATGCCCGGAAACGTCTGTTCTTCTTACATGTCATCTTAAAATATTCCATTTAAAAGACAGCAGTACAACAATATCTGATTAGACACATTTAACAAATCAGACCAAAGTTTTAACATTAACTGTAACGAAAGCATCGCATACAGTAATGCCTGCTATGATCCCTCTGAACCACGGCTCCTGGGTCCTTTCTTAGTTACAACTGCAATAAAAGCATCCTAAACAGAGTCATTACTGAGAATTATGGATCAAATAATCTGAAGACTCTGAGGCCACACAGAGGGAAAACATTACAGAAGATGATTGCCTTGATTTAACAGATTCATAAAGTCTGAAAATGACCCTGCAGAATCCGTGTTAGTACAAGGGTAAAAAAAAAGGAAACCAGAACATTGCTCCAGATGTGCCGTTCCCTGTATCTATGATCCAGTATCACAGCAATCATTATTACTATGATTTAACTTTCTTCAAGTTAAGGCTGACTCTCCCTTGTTTTTAAGACAGCATGGTTGTTTTTTTTAATTTAATGTGAAGTTTTTAGTTTAGTGGTTGTTCATGTTAAGGTCACAAGAAATCAAATGTCATATATGAAGAAAAAAAATAAAGACAAGCTAGAAAATGTTCACACTGAAGCTCAAACTGATCTTACCTTTCTCTGTGGTGAGGAAACATCTTAAAATGTGACTGCGGCTCCTTTTCTATAAGAAGAGGAGAGAGTTGAAGCAGTGCATCCATCAACCCGACAAGTATTTGTTCTCCACAAATGAACAGAAAGAAAAAACGATGATTTAACAATTTCAACTTTCACTTTGAGCACAGTTTAATCCAGGCAATAAAATCCTGCCACACTTACCCCATGTCGGTGTAAATCCGCGGTGAGTCTGACAATAATCCCGGAGCTGGAGCTGCTGTTGCTGTTCTGGTCTCCTCTTTCTTTCAGTCTGAGCTACCAGATGCTTTACTCCTGCTTTATTCTCCGGGGGGTGGGGGGGAGTTTTCTCCGCAAGGCACCACAGCCTGCTGCAGCCTGCACAGTGTCCGTACCGTCCTGCCCTGTCCCCGGCCACCGGAGGTCCACCGCTCTCCTCTGTCTGCGGAGCCCGGAGAGTCACAACCCGGAGGAGGCAGACCCGCTGACCTCGGTGGCTGAAGTGACCGCGGTGTCCATCTCCAAAACCGGAGGAGCAGCAGCCGTTCTTTCCTTCTTTCTCTTTCCTAAAAACCTCGTCGTTGTGGGTCAGGGCTCTCTGCTCTTCACCCAGCCGGCTGCTTGACTTCAACAGCCCGACAGTAGAGTACCACCTGCTGGCTCTACAGGGCTACGGGCACCCGCTACAGCTGCATGAGGCAATGAGGCAGGGAAACTGTGTCAACCTGCCTGCAGCCAATGAGCCTGCATGTGTGCATTACTGCAAACTGGATCTTATAGGTCTGCCCGCCGCTGCCAGTTTTAAGGCTTAATCAAATGTTTGTTCATTAATTGTCCCGGAGGAAAAGTCATGACCTAAAAAGACTTCTCAAGAGTCACACTGCAGTCCGTTTAGAGCTACAGCTGTAATATAAAATGTTCAGACCTGCCTTCCTGTTTAGATTTAAGAGAGCCTTGCAATGGTAACAATGCAAAAATGAGTGGGGTGAAAAATAGAAATACAACAGTGAAGTCTAAGGAGCAAAAAGAAGCAAACTTTAATTTTCCAAGATTATCAACAGGAGAATCTTTGTGAGCATAATTTTTCTTTAAAAACATCAATCAGTGTGGGCAGAAAAACAAAATGGTGCAGCCCAGTGGCAAACACAAAACTTCTTCATTTTCAGTTGTTTTAAATAAGCCAAACAAAGATTATCAGAGCAAAAGTATAGAAGAACTCAAACCTCTAAGTCATATGACATGCAAAAACTACTCTATGTGTTGGTAAGGGATCTTTTTTATTTCCTTTAAAAAATAAATTATAATTTATTGTTAGACCAATGAACAGGTGAATCTAGCTAGTGATGAGCTTATCCACACAGGATGTAACATAAATTCAGACAGCAATCAGATGATCTACTAATCTACAGATAATCAATAATAGGGTATAAATATTAACTGGATGTCCTGTTCAGTAAGATGTACCTCCTGCACAGCTGAAGTTGGCCAAAAAATGGTTTGTAATTCATTATTGTGAGAATATGAAAACGCTTATTGAGTGACATGTTTTTCAGAAACACATTTAAATCCCTGCGGCTGTTGTTTATTCTCTTGCAGCCAGAGTACTTGTTTTTAGAGCTCTGTGCTCCGTGCCTCCGTGGATATTACACTTATTTAACCCAGCTTTAGGTCAGAGGAAAGGTGGCCGCGGTCAGGAAAAAGACTGGTGTTTTGATGATGACATTTTTCAGTGTCGTGCATTTCATATGACATGAAAATGATTTGAATTGTTCAAGTAAAGCAGAGTTAGTACATCTCAGAGGAAAATGAGACACTGATAAAAAAAAACAAGCTGCATGGAAATTTCACTAAGGTCCATCTAAAGCACTGAAACTAAGACACCATGTTCACTAACATTTACCAGAGTTACAGAATAAACTAACTGTTCTGTGTTTACATAATGCACTACTAATAATGAGTTTCACACTTCTCCATAAGTTCAAGACTTCAGGACAACATAGGACAGAAAAAACAAGGGGAAGAAATGCGGTCCTCTCTGGACTCAAGTCCCACCAACATAATCACACACTTGGGTCTTCATGTTTTAATAATCTAACTATTAGTATAATAACAGATTAATAATAATCTGCCTTTATGCCAAATGTCATACTGCATGTACAACATATACAACATGTGTGCCTCTTTCCAAACATGGTGAAATCTATGATCAAGTTTCTCTTCAACACATTTATTCTAAGATGGGCCTCAGAAGTTTTTGCCATCCTTTGTAACGAGTAGCCATGTCAGGTACTCCACAGGATGAAAACTAAAGCTCATGATTTCTCTCAAGAGTGATTTCTTACTTCACTTCACTGCGATAATCAGGTGCCTAAATTGGACATAAATAGTCTCATTGTACGCATGTTTTTTTTTTTTTACTTTTGGAGAAAGGTCTTTGGGGATTAGTGCCCTCTTCATTTGGCTTATTTGATGCATGTAGCTATATATGCTCAAGATTATGCCTATCTGCTAGCTTAAGTGGCTTCAGGGTCAGCAGAAAAAGAATGATGGCTTCATTCAGTTATAAGTTGGTTATGGTGATCACTTTCACTACTAAAAAGATACATTTAGAAGAACAAAAACAAAATTGTCTCCCTATATTCAGATCTTTGGAGCTCACCTCCTCAAATCTGGAGACAAAGATGTTTTTCTTTTCGTTTATATTTTTTATAAGAGCTAATTCCACCACTTGTTTCTTTGCAGACCAACTTGAGAAAGACCTGCCTTGAAAGACGGCCAACTGCGCTAGCTTACATCACTGAAAACCTCAATGAGAACAGCCTTTATTTAGAAAACTTTCTAACTCAAAGCTGAGAAAGAAAAGCGAATGATCCGTGGCTATGTAATCCTCAGATTTCATTAGAGCTCTTTAAATGTACAACACCACAAGCACTTGTGAGTTCACTTGAATAGCCAAACAGTGTTTTCCACACTTTTCTCTCCTGGATGCTTAGATGTGATCAAATGCAGAGCCTCAATTCAAGCTTTGAGTTTAAAAAAGTTGCCATATCAACTGCTTCAAGAGTTGTGTCCCCTTTTGTTTTCGCTCTCTCTCTCCAAGTCACAGAAGACGTCCTGTTGAGTTAGCTTGGAGGACATTTGTGTGAGACACCTCTTCTCCATCTTTCTCAGCTTTTGGAGCAAGATTCCCAACCATACCGCCTGGAGATCGTCGAGGGTTCAGGGGCACACAAGGGACAAGATGACACTGTCGCCCCGCTTTCCCCTCCCCTCCAGAATCATTCGGACCATCCACCCTCCTTGACCTGTCGAAGGTCTCGCCTCTCCAACTGCGCTGCTCCGACAACGACAGCTCTTCTCCTTCGCCATGTCTTCGCGTGTGAGCAGCAGTGCCTTCTCTCCTCCGCCAGCCTCCCACTCTCTCGTCTCTTGCTCGCTTCCTGTCCAGCTCTACTCCCATTTTTGCTCTCACTCTTGTGATTGGTTGGTTTCTCACGGTCTCTCTCCTGTTACTTTCACACAGTGGTGCTTCGGTTGTAGCAGTGGAAAACGGGTATCCATGTTTGTTCTTTTTTGTTATTACCCAGATTAAAATACCAATGAACTAAGCTTCACACAGGCCTAGCTCCTTTCCAGCGACCTGTCAAATACAAAAAAACTAAATTTACACAAATATAAATATGAAATATTCATTAGTATTAACCTTCTATTTAAAGGAATAGTTCCATGTTTTGGAAAATGCCCTTATTCTCTTTCTTGCTGAGAGATAGATGAGAAGATTAAAACCACTCTCACGCCTGTATAGTAAATACGAAACTAGAGCCAATAGTTAGTTAGCTTAGTTTAACACAGAGACACCTTATATCACATTTGTTTAATCTGGACTATTTATTGGTGAGGAGCAGTGATTAACTTATCGTCACCAGAAAGCTGCCAACAACCAAAGGAAACTCAGCACTCTCTGCCAAGAAATAGTCTGGCACATAACTCTCCATTAAACAGCAACTTGTTGTTTTTACACTTCAGACTAAACATGTTGTGTTACCTTTTGACAGAGCCAGACTAGCTGTTTCCATCTGTTTCCAATCTTTATGCTAAGCTAAACAGACAGTTAGATAGAATACTAGAGTAGAGTCTTCACAAGGGGAAATCGCACTGTTAAACCAGCCTAATCACACAGCGGTATCAATGTTCTCATCTTAACTCTAACATGGAAGTGAATAATCTCATTTGCCAAAATGTCAAACTATTCTTTTATTTTCAATGAGTCAGCTTAGTTGTAGTCCACAGTGGAATTACTTACAGTCTAGTACTGGGACAGTCCAGTCACACCACCGTGTTGGTAGGCACGCTCCCCCTGGTAGGTGGAGTCCTGGGACAAAGCCACGTCAATCTGGGACTTGAACTCGTCTCCTAGGTAACTGTCCTATAATGGGGCAAACAAAAAGTGAAAGAGGCAAGTCAACAGTTATTCCTTAATTTCTTTCCAGGCTGAAAAGCATGAAGTGGTTTTAGACAAGAAGTCTTTACTTGAAGAGGAAACCTGGACAAACACTTGGAATAAATGTGTTAACAGTCCTGGCACAGAGTGCTAATTGCTATGAATAAAACAGACGACAAACAGCTTGCTTCATAAAAGTGCCACAACTTAGCACTCCATAAAATTGCTTAAATACTAAATTGATTATTAAGATTTATTCACAGTGGATGATTTCAGTTAACAAACCTGTGAAAGTTCAGGCTGGGAGAGCCCAGGCTGGCTCATCTGTGACGGCTGGCTCATGTTGATGTAGCCCTGTGTCAGAGGCCCCTGGGAGAAGGGCTGGGAGCCCAGGTCCTGGCTGGCCTGGCTGCCACTCATGTGGCCTCCGTGCTGCCCGCGGTCTGCTCCTCCATTCCCTCCGCTGTGGTTCCCCATGTTGCCACGGTTTCTTTGACGACCACCTCGAGTCCCTCCGCCTCCTCCACTGCCTGCCTTGCCTTTCATACCTCCACCACGACCTGGAGATAAAATAAATACCAGTCCAGAAGAGTGTTTAACTGGACAACATGTAGGCATCCACACTGAGCAAGACTCTACAGTTTTATGTCTTACTCACCTGATGTGGGTCCATTGAGCTGTCCCATGTAACCAGGCGGAGGTATGGGGGGCATCACAAGGTTGAAGGGGATGGGGAGGTTCATGGAAGTCATGGGACTGGGGCCTGTCCCAATCATACCAATCTGGTCATGGGTCTGGAAATACATATTGGACGTACGTCCTGTAGTGGAAAAAAGCACAGATTCATCTTAGACCTAGTTTTGTCACACGTGACAGTATACATGTTTTTGTATTTGAGTAAATTTGTATTCAACCTGCCATTAAATACCAAAGCATATACACTACATGTCCTTTGCAACAGAGTTTATCTCAAATAAAAATGAGTGTGTTGTTTTAGATTTCTCACCGTTGCTGCTGCGGTCATAAACAGATCCAGGAATGAGGGCCTCCCTGGCATCGTACATGGCTGTGCTCATGAATCGACCACCCTGCAAAACAAAAGGACAAGAAATGCTATTTTGAGTGTTTTTAGGACATGCCTCATTATCTCTTGCATGTACGCTGATTTATTACCCTGTTTCCTTCAAACAATTTTAAATTACATCTTAAACCCTTCACATGCCACACTGGGAAATAACATATTCATGACCCAGTTAAGAAACCCTGATTTCAGTGTTCTATATCCTCAGTGTATGTAACACACACTAAACTCACTGGGTTGATGGTGTTGACCAACTTGCGAGGCTTGCTGAATTGCATGAGGCTCTCCCTCAGGTTGTTAAGTGGGCCTTCGACCAGGACCTTCTGCTCCTTGTAGTAGTTCAACAGGTGGTTCCACAGAGGCTGCTTGGACAGGGCCTTGGGGTTTCCCACAATGATCACACCATACCTGTGTGACATAAGCAGAAGATGACCGACTGATGTTATAGTAAACTATGCGTAGAAATATCAAGAGAACAAAAATTATGTATAAAATTAGACACAGAGGGCTCTCAGGGGCTTAAGCAAATGAGCTGGTGTTTTACTTCATGTAGTTTTACCTGGCCCTAGTGAGTGCCACATTGAGACGTCTGGGATCATTGAGGAAACCAATACCCTGGTGCTCATTGGCCCTCACACAGGACAAGATGATAAAGTCCTTCTCTCTGCCCTGAAAGGCATCCACACTGGCTATTTCCACCTCCTACAGAAAGAATAAAGAGTTGGAAAAAAAACTGACTGGTAACCTTGAACAACATATTTTCTAATTGTAAAACATAATTTGCTCGAGCTTTCATCACAGACCTATTACTGGAGTTATAAAAACACTCGACACTCAACAACAAATAACTTTCATTTTAACACGTCAGTAAATTAGCCAGAGCTACCTGCCCAATGTGACAGTCAGCGCTGGCTAAAAATTAGAAGCTGGTACCTAAATGTTCTGTACACTGATCTTTGCTCATGAGAAATATTGTGTTGGAGACCTAGCACAACTGTGTATTTTGCAAACCTCAGTCTCAGTGTCTCTGTGCCTATATAATTTCACATTCACACACTCTTATTTTAGCTGATTTAGTCCTGATACCGATCCTTTGGATCAGCTCAGGACACCAATACTTAACAGATTACTGGATTTGTGTTTAAATGGTTGATACATTTTTCTGAAGTGCATAATACAACATTTAAGCAGCCAAATATTTGTAACTACCTGGTAGAGTTTGGTATGGAGGGAGCCACTGAACTGCATGTACTGGACCAAGTAGGACCTCTGTCCCTCGTAGGGCGTAATGATGCCAATCTGATCGGGTTTTGCTCCAGCCTTCAGCAACCTTGTGGTTATTTTCTCCACATTCGCTGCCTCAGTCCTGCATAGACAAGTAGGGTGATTACATGACAAGACAATTTTTTTTGACATGGCAAAGAAACTAATTATGCTTGACTGCAAGTTGTGACTTGGATTTGATATCTCTTAAGATGTAGACCTTAAACACCTAAGAAATGTGAAGAGCCACAAGTGTATAAGCCAAAGGTTGAAGTGACTTAGGAAAATGCTGAGTTAGAGCAAAATCGACAGTTATTAAGAAAACTATTTTCTTCACCTAAACTGCTTTATATAAAATTGCAGGACGAACATAAAGATGAGGTCAACATAATGGTCAAGAAATTTGAAACCTGTTGAGATAGGACGTTCCAGAGCTGGCAATTTCCTCTTGGCCTTGTGTGACATAAAAGAACATAGGCTTGTCAGGCTGCGGCCACTGGAAGTCGAAGCCTTTCTTCACACGGTCCCCTGTAGAAGAGGCAAACAAACAGACATGACTCAGTGCTAGCGTTGCTGATGTACAGCAAATAAGCCTGACAGGAGCAGCTGCAGGCTTCAAGTACATCTAAGGATTATTACAGATGACTAAATTACAAGAAGGTTGAAATACAGATAGCAAATCTCTTATAACCAACACTGCTTTGAATAACACCACTTTATTGGATACAAAGACGAAAGCATAACACTGAGCTGGATGCTAGCAGTCTAGCAAAACATCTGAGGAGTCACTGGACAGTAAAGGTCTACTGTGTTGGGAAAACAGTCAGGGAAATGTAAGGGAGCAGCATCATGTATCTTAAGAGCATCTAGCTGTTACTGAATAGCATCCAGCTGGGGGCGCCTGTAGAGTTGACGCATACAAAGGCAGAGTCCTTGCTGCAGCGGCCATGGGTTCAAATCCAACCTGTGGCCCTTTGCGGCGTCATCCCATTTCTTGTCTATCTTCAGCTGTACTATCTAATGCAGCTGCACCCTGATTTAGAGGGCAGTTTCTAAAGACTGGCTGCAAAGGGAAAGACAAGTACAAAATTCATTTATCTTACCGGCAGTGACTCCATTCTGCAGAGAGCCCTCATAGAAGATGTTGGAGGGGAAGGCGCTGAGGGCTGGGTGCATGCGGTACTGGACCTGCAGACGGATTGGCCGAATCCCCAAAACTACCAGACGCTCAAACAGAGACTGGGACAGACCTGCTTTAGCTGCCTTCTTACACATAACAACAGGACCCAGCTGGCAGTGATCACCCACCAGAATCAACTATGGGAAAAAATAAACATGATTACGTTAAGAGTAAATCAAGACATACACCGTATACCTCACAGCTAAAGAATGATCCAGACGTACTTCCACTCACAAAGCTCCTACCTGTTTTGCCCCCAGGACGACAGGCACCATACACTCTGGTTCGGTGGCCTGGGTGCTCTCATCAATCAGGATGGAGCGGAACTGCATTTTAGCCAGACGAGGATCCCCCGCCCCAACACAGGTACAGCAGATGACATCTGCATTCTGGGAAAGAGCAAAGGAATAAAGTAGACATGTTTATGTATTGTATAATATTACTTGTTGCGTGTTACTCATTACTTTGCTGTATCTTTTACTTTTGAAGTTTTAAACTTTGGAAGAATCATTCCTGACACATCCACCTTCAGTGGATCTGAATGGATTAGCATAAAATCTAAACTAGGCACTTGAAAATAACCATTCAATCAAAGCTGGTGTACAACTTTTTGCCTTGTACTGCCACAAAGAGAAACATACTTAGTAGCACAAAGAATTCAGCAGGACCAGTCTTCATACCATAAGCAGCTCCCTCTCAGCAGTGCGTCTCAGAGCTCGGTAGCGCTTCTCGTCCGAGGAGGACAGCTCTCCAGTCTCGTCCTTCAGCTGTTGGAGCTTCTGAAGTTCGGGCATACTGCAGGTATGAATCATTACAATACAGTGTAATTTATATGGGGTGTAACAGGTTGTATCATCGAAGGTCTGGAACTATTTCAGACCACTAATGATCATATTTGTACACCCTGGAATTCCATTTGTTGCTACACAATATTAGCCCAAACATTAGCTAGTATTGCTCTAACAGGACTGCTGCTGCTTAGAAACTTTATCCTAATGAAGTTATTAATCACTAACTAAAACCTTCTTGATTGTCATAAACACGTTTTGCTACACTGATGGTGTGATAACTAATACTAATTAACCACACACACAAACAAGGCATTGCAAAAGTAAGCTGCTTTTAAGCATTACCTGTCCATGTTACGGGTCTGGTTGTGCAGAGCCAGGAAAGACACAGGAGAGTCGATGGCCTCCCTGCTCTTGGCACACAGCCTCACCACCTTGAGACCTGTCTGGTGGATCTTCTCTGTCAGCTGGTCAACGGCAATGTTACTGGGAGCACACACCAGCACTGGTCTGGAAGGACAAAAGTTACAATACTATCTTAGGGACCATAACACATAGCCAAGCCATTCTTTGAGAACACGATGGGCTGCTCAAGATATTTTTACATTCATTACAATGAATAAATTACCAAGCAATGTAAAACAATAAATGAGAGTTACTAGTCACATTCGAACCAAACAGTTATGGTAAATATTATCATAGCACCAGCCTGTATATACAAAATACAAAGTAATAAAAATAATAAAAACATTTGTATGCGTCTTACCCGTTGCCCTGTCTAGCCAGGTGGTAGACAATGGTCGCAGAGGTTACTGTCTTCCCTGTTCCAGGAGGACCCTGGATCAGACTCAGGGGACGCTGCAGCACTGTCTTCACAGCATACACCTGCATTAGAACAAACAGCATTTATGTGAGTGCAAATGTGTTTATACATAAAAAAGTATATAATATATTTAAGTCTCTCTAACTCACCTGTGAGTGGTTAAGATCAGGCAGGCCTTGAGCAGTGAAGCGTTTGGGCAGCTGGCACTTGATGACCACATCCTCTACCTCATGTCCCAGCAGTTTGTGATAGATGTAACCAGACACTGACGTCTCATCCACAGCAAATGTCTTCAGGGCACTTTGCATCCTGAGTGATGAAGAGAAAAAAATTGAGAGAAAGCTCTAAACTCGATATTAAAAAATAAATTACAAACAAAACAAAGTGGTTCATTGCACACTGAAAAGATTCAGATTCATATTGTTACATATACTTAAACAAGAAATTGATCTGTAGCCTTTCATTTTAAGGTGGAATATTATGATGCAAATGTATAATTTTCAACTAAAGATGGGCTTACTGTAACAAGTTGGGTTTCTGGCCATATCACAACAAGAGACAAGAGTGTGAGGCTTTTATTGTGAATACCTGTCAAAGGAAGTGGACTTCCACACAAAGTCGACCTGAAAATTGTGTGGGATCTCCACTGGAGCCCCGGCACTGCTCCTTAGCTCTATGGCGATCTCATCACCATAGTCTGATTAAGTAAGTCAAGGAGGATGTAGAGCCTTTGAAGATATACTGTAATTATTATCATATTTGAGGCTACAGATATGACAGTACATTATTATTTAATTATGATTGGATTTACTGGGCACACTATTGATGACAACAAATGTGTTATTTGTTACGTAAATGGCTGCTGACATTATAAGCTTTATAAAAAGGTAGAGCCACTGTATTGTGTTTCATAGGCACACCAATGACTATAATGATATCTAGCTTTAGGTCTGATTGCTGGAGTACTGTATCAGTTGATCAGTTATTAGTCTTAAGGCTGAAGTTAAATGAAAAAATATGTGTTTGGAATAAATGTATGATGACTTGGAAATAAAAAAAATTCTTGATTCCTAATTCCACCTTTACACATTTCTGTTAAATGTGCTGCAATAATGTAATGTTTCTGAGCTCAAATATCTTCATTTTGGGGCTTTTCCAAGCAAAACCTGATATATGTGACTGTTTGCAATTAGAATATGTTTCTGCCACCCTCTAAAGTCTCTATGTCACCCCAAGAATATTTCTCTAGATCGGCCCCTGACTAACAGCTGGTAAGCTGTATGAGCAAAACCTAAATATAGAATTTGTTTTCAAAAACTCCCTGGGGATTGTAAAGAAAGACACAAGTTTGCAGATGTTGTTGTAGTTTCCTACAGCTGCCAGTAGATGTTACTAAAGACTAATTTTACTGATAACTAACTAACTAAGCTCAAGTTAGTAAGAGGCCCCTGTGCCTGTAACAATCTTTTGGTAAAATGCGGTCTCCTGTCAGATACAGAATGCTTATTAAAACCGTCACAAGGATACTATCAGGGACTTTGATGACATGTCCAATTCCTTTCCATGGAGGCGCCAGGTCTCCTTTGTACCTCAGGCAAATTTCATCTCCCTGCATCAGTCGCATGTCTAGAGGCGGAGAAGACAACTCTGTTAATTACACATTACTGCACAGAGTAAGGGCATCAACAGAGGCACAACTGAAAATTAACAATAATAAATAAGACACATTTAAGAAATTACAGAATGATACACCATTGTAAGTGAAAGCCACATAAACATTTATATTTATGTGTCTTTGGAATGTCAATGTTTTGTTTTTTTTGTTACTTAATAGACAAAGCATGATTATCATAATGATAAACTTGAAGCAACGTTACAAAGAAATACCTGAGTCTGTCTTGGGAAGAGTGAAATAAGCAATTCTCTTTTTATTCAGGCCCAAGTCCCATCTGACCGTAATGTTGTCTTGAGTCTGTTCAGAAGTAAAATGAAAAGATACATTTAATAATTAAATGGCAGCAGAAACCTTTGTTATGTCAAAATCACATCAGACAACAAAAGCAGAAAAAGCTGAATATTGACTGAAACAAAGTAATTCACAGTGGGTCAGTACAAGAAAAAAAACATACATGACTGTAACAAATGGATTGCCTTATCTTTACTTTTTCCTCCAGCATTAGAGAATAAACTAATTCAATGTAACCCATTTGTTAATGAATTTAATATTTGATCTAACTATAATTAATCACTGACTATTCTACAGTCTTGTTTGTTAAAACATAGATAAGACAAATGTATTTTAATTCACAATTTACTCATTTATTTTATGTTTTTTACCTGGGACTCTTTGAGTTTCTTATCATAGTCAGCCTCCAGCTTCACCAGAGGACCAAAGATGTTCTGATACTGGTACGCATCCTCATAGCGGAGCAGCACATGTTGGGGCTCCTCATCCACACCAGGCTTCTCTAGGTCTTCCAAAGTGGCAGTGGGATTTTCCTGCCAGGAAGAAACAAACACACAGGAGAAAGATTAAAATATGGCTATAAAAGCAAAATAGAGTGCTATTAAAGTACAGTTTTTCTACAGAAGACACTTTTGTTGTCACGGTAGGAAAAGCACAGGTGTAAATAATAAAATTAATGCTGGCTGAATTCCATTTAGCTGTTTTGGTTACTGGTATTGTTTATGCTGTCTCACTGTCACACTGTCATGACTTACTGGGGCACTTGAATAGAACTAGGGATTCCCCAGTCTGATCTCAAAGATCAGTACTGGTCAAAGCATTTTTTAACTGATCGGTATCGGCTATATCGAGCTTTATTGACCCGATCCAATCTTTTGTTTGCCATTCTCAACTCTCTCCGCTGTCTCTTCCCTCCACTCAGCTGAGCTCTGTGTGTGAGTGAGAGCAGAGGTGGGCTGAGAGGAGAGACAGCGGTAGAGATCCGACACAAACACACTCAACCCGCCACTGCAAGTGCAACAAAAGCCCTGCGGACAAAAAGTCAATGACAGTAATTAATTTAAGTGTAACTACACCCTTTAGTTCCGCTAGCTCCCTCCCTCTCAGCAAATAAAAAAAAATGCACCAGAGACCTGCAAAGGACAGTGACTTTATGGGGTGTGGCCTTGACACAGACCGGAGTGGTCGACAGACTGACCACAGGAGTGTAGCAGAAACAGCGAGCTGTTGAACAGTTGCTGTCAGTCTTTCCGTGTCTGCGCTGGAAACACTCTCTGTGTCTCAGCGTGTCTGCTGGAGATTTTACAGTCACTTGAAGCACTTTGACATCGTTTGTAAAATTTTGTTTGTATTTGTAATTGTATATGTATATATTTTTATGCACCAACTGCACCAGGTCACATTCCTCGTAGGCGTGAAAACCTACTTGGCAATAAATAAGATTCTGATTCATTCTGATTCTGAAAAGTTGTTGTGTGGTACGTGTGTTGTAGCTGTGCTAGCAGGCGTTAACACTTTATTTATACAAAAGTTGTGACGTACAGTCGGCCCAAATAGTCAACTCTATCTCAGCATTTGTTTTACAACATACTCGGTGATTTGAAACAGTAGATGGCATGTTGAGACATTTTTAACCCACAAAATGCAGATTTTCATAAATTTGGTAATAATGTCAATTTTAACACTAGTATTAATGTGTTTCACCACAGCTAAGAAAAGAAACATTTTAGGCTGGAGTACCTCTTTAATGTAGTCCACGCAGAAGATGCAGAGATGACAGAAATAAACACTCTACAGAAGTATTGGATCAGGACTTGGTATCAGCAGATACTCAACATTAAATGATTCAGATGTGATCACTAAAAAACTTCCCAAAACATCCCTAAATAGAACCATTTTTAATGTTGTTTGTAACACCTATGCTTTTCCTACTATGACAAGTCAAAGTGTCTGCTGTAAAAAAGGCCTATGAGCACAAAGAAGTACGCACAATATCTGGTCGGTATACGTGACCTTATATACAGGAAGCTCTAAAAAATTTGAAAGACATGCATGAAACGAGCAGTGAAACTGACACTGAACAGAAAGAAATAGCTCAGCAAACATACAGTAAAGTTATTTGAATCACACCCACAACTGTATGAATGTATCTGGTTAACTGTATAGATGAGCTCTACTGTACTTAAATTCAAGTTATGTTGGTTTAGAATATTTACATAGTACAATGGTGGATGTGTGCAAGGACAGTTGCATTGGCAGTACCTTCCAGAGCTCCTCCAGCTTGTTGATCTGCTGGGCGGTGATCTGACGAGCCCTGAGCTGCTCCTGCTCTGACGGGATTTTGACCAGCCAGGACAGGAAGCAGCGGTCCTGGATGAGAGGCTGCCACTGCGAGCTGTCCCAGTTGATGTCCTTCAGGCTGCTCTGGCTGGCACATGGCTGCCTGTGTTACAACCAAAACACAATAACTGTGAAATTCTGGGTTCTCTTTGATTGCCCCTGTCAGCAGGAAGGTCAGAAAGCATGGTCAGCTACATAAAAGCACCTTACCTGCACAGTAACACCACTACTGAGTCAGCTTTGGCAGGGATGAAGCCCAGAAGGAAGACATTGCGACAGCCACAGTTGTAGCACTCCAGTACTGTTTCCCCCAGAGGGCCATCTTTATGCAGGGTCACCTCCTTGGACTTTGCTCTCACCAGGTGGTTTACAATGTGGCTACGGGTGAAGAGAATGATAATATATGCACCAGAGTGAGGACAAGCAAATGTATTAGGTAAGAGTGTAATATACGCTACTGATAATCCCAGACGCCTTGGATCAACATGTCTTGACAATTCTTTTATTTTATGTCAAATAAAACGTGACTACAAAAGAATTCAGCAAGAATATATTTGTTTACTAAAACTGCTTTAAATACAAAGAACCAGTCAAAGCCCATCATACAAATATGAGTTGAAGTATTTGTAAGTAGGTTCACATCATTACCAAATGTGTTACTACTACTTATTTATCACCTTGAGTTTACAGTGTCAGAACTAGAGCATTAGGTAAAAAACAGCATCAACTGTGCATGACTAATTAATATAATAATAATAATAATTCAAAGTTCATCTACTGTATATGTTTAACCACTGAGGAGACCAGACAAAATTCTTCTGAACTGAAATATCTTGCCATTGTTTTCTGGTTTATATTATCTGGTTAATTTAAAAGGATCACCTTTAATTATACCTACTGAAGAAATATTAGGCTACTTTAAAATTAAGACTTCAAAGACAAATACCTCTTTGCTTTGGATAACTTGCTTGAATAATTTAATATTATCCTAAGTGGCCCATGAAAGTCAGTAAAGATAATTATTTCAAATTATGTTTGTAACTTATTATGTGTAACTCCATAAGAAAATACTAACTGTCCATTTATGACGTGAGGCTTCTGAACAAAACAAAGACTCATTATTACAGTCGCAGTTTACTGTACTCCAGCTATGATGATACTGAATCTGTAAAATGATTCTCTCTCCAGTTCATTTAGCTAAGTACACCAACTGGAAGGGTCAATAAAAAGCTGATATGTTACTATATCTTACCTGCCGGATGTGTTTCCACGGCCATTACAAAACCACTTCTTGCTGGTGTTGCAGTAGACCACACAGGCTGGATCATGAATCCCACAGTAACTAAAATAGAAGTGAGTCAAAATTAATAAAGAAAGAGAAAGCTTTACATTTGAGCAAATGGACTTGTTTATATCAGAAAACAAAACAAGAAAAATAAGCATATGATTTGTTATAAACTGTCAATATTGATTACAATATATTGATTATAATGCTTTACTAATGCAACTCAAATCAATGTGATGCAGAAATCCTTCTTACAGCAGTTATAGCTGTCTACAACAACAGTAGATGAACAATAAAGTGATTTTTGTTTTTTTCAATTTTCAGACTAAACAACTTACAGTAGCTGAGGGGATGGACTTCAATGTGCTTGCTAATTGGAGCCCAAGCTATAAATCTGAAGGTTGATATTTTGGCCAATGTTAGTTCATTGCAAATATATCTGTATCTGCGTATATATCAACCAATAAACTAAAGTACATACATATCAAGGAAGTATCACAGTTTGTCTTTTTAACTGTCAAATGCTCTGTCCAGTATTGTACCAGATCTGGTGGTCGCAATTGTTAAAACTCAAAATTAAAGTTTATATAAGCATGCTGGAAAGAAGAGGGTGGCACATTTATTAAGAAAATTAAGGCCATCGTTCTCTGTCCAACAAACTTTGTGCTTGGTATGACGTAACAATAATAGTGATTAACCACTGTTGACATGACACAATATGTTCTCATAACTTGACTTATGTGCCATCTGGAGAAGTGAGTGAGAGCGTGTGTCTGTGTTGCCCACCAGGGACAGTACCCCAACCCCTTAAGTTAAGCTGGACAGAAACGAGCACATTGAGTATATACATATACAGATATATATATATATAAATCTGTATATGTATATATATATGGCTGCCAATAACAGAAAAGGGTCTGCTATGGTTTTACTCAGATTTAACAATTTTTTTATGTCATGGCATTTGAAAAGAAGTATTTAAATAAGTTTTTTTTTTTTTTTATATTTATGAAATATCTTCAGACATTATCGTCAATAAAAAATGAGACTGTAATAATGAGACCACTGACACTCTATTGAGTATAAAGAAAGGGTCTGTCTATAGTTACAGCAAATGACAGCAACCATCAAATAGACACTACATGTAATAAACAATAAACAAAATAAGTTTCATGAATAAAATAAAATCATAACAAGTGATCTTTTCCCACTCTGATGACAGCTGTGGCACCAGTCACATTAGTCTGATCCTTTACCTGCAGGCGTGTATAGGAAGATCCTTGGTGTAGTAGGTGTCCTCCTCATCCTCCTCAAAGTTCAATTCTGCCAGCAACTGACTGGCTTTTACCACGGGGTCGTCTCCATTCTGTAGCACGCCATCAGGTCCATTAACCTGAAGAGACAGGTGTACAGACTTATTACCATGGACTAAAACTTAATGTCAACATTATGTGGAATAAACTAACATTGAAGGATCACTGATAGTGAATCCATTGTGCAAAAAGTGGACCGTCAACCAGACACATACAGCCTCATATGGTCATATATTTCACTTGCAGTCCTGCTTGTTGACTGTCAGGTCAATAAACAGTTTGCTGACAGCAATATCACACTGACAGTATCCAACCAGCTGTGTCTATTGATATCTGATTGTTCACAGTGCATACTGTAAAGTATTTACTACATATTAGTACTAGTCAGTATAAATATGGGCATTTGGGGCTGATCTGCCACACTGGCAGACCTCTGACACCAAGGTGTGTATGGCAACAAAGTCCTGCATTGACATGCTAGCTGTGTCAGCATGCTAACGGTGCTGTCAGCTAGCTAAACGTCAAAGCTAGCACGCTAGCCAATTAGCGGGATAAGAGCATGGTAACAGATGGAAGGCGTCATCGTGCTAACCGGGGGTAGCCAGTGATGTTGTTAGCTAACGTTAGCGAGCTAATTCACGTTTTGTCAACAGAGCAGAAGACATATTTTGACACCGAGCTGCCCCGAACACCCCCACGCACCTGGCTGTCCAGCTGACTCTGGGTCTGGCCTTGGGTCTGGGTCTGGCTCGGCAGGGTAAAATCGGTGAAGTCGTACTCGGAGCCCTGGGTGTCCGCTCCCAGCAGCTCGGCTTCCTCGGTGTCAAGGAACGTTAGAGTCTGCGAGCTCGGCCCGTACGCCTCGACACTCATGTTTATACCTTCTTAATTACGGTTTTTACCCGTTCCGACGATTGTTCCTCAAACTGCTGCTATTCCAGGAGACACCGAATAACGGAGGCAGAATATTGATGAGAAAATGACAAACACTGGTGGTGAGACAGAGATAGAAAGAGCCTCGACTACGGCTGCATTCCGTTTGTTTTCTCCCCCGCTCGTTTCCTCTCCTCCCTCTATACCGTTTGTATCCTACAGGAAGTCACCTGCAGGGAGCGAGGGAAGGAAAGGAGACAAGGAGACATACGTGAACAGAATTTAATGTGGGGCAATTTATTTCTTATATGGGCACAAAACTTACAGAGCTTTATCGTGCAACAAGGTCAAATCTCAAATGATTACTCGACTTCTGTCCTTTATTTTAAGAAATAAAGGTGCAACAAATATGGTTACAATAACGATTATTTTATTTATAAGGCACCTTTCAAGCTTAAGCACAAAGTGCTTTCCAGATTAAAAGATATGCAAAAAAATAGCTTAAAATGACATACATTAGAAAATGAATAGGCTTATGCGCAACACAATACATGAAAAATAAAACACTAATGCCTCTGTGTGGTAACACATATCACAATATGTAAGTTAAAATATCAAACAAGAAAAGGAATAGTACACTGTATTAAAAAAGTGTTAATATGCACCATGCACTTTATGGGTTTAATACAGCCTGAGCTTTAGTGAGCATGACATCAAAATGCTTCTGTGTAGGCCGGGAGGCTCACTATAAATGTTAGGCCCCTGAAAAAATCTAGCAATATATCTGCTGTACATTATACCCACATTCAGCTCTGCACCACCTGAACACATTATTTATTTAGAAGCAGGTAAACCTTTCGATTCAACATGTGAAAGCACTGGCTGGCTTTGAGATCAATTTTGATCATTTAACTGACATTTAAATTCATTTAGTACCTTTGAGGAACATTGTTATTTTAAATAAAAGGTTTTATTTTATGTCCACAACTGAAATATTGTGGTTATTTCTCATCTGTTGAGAACTCAACAGGTTAGCACAGCTCTGAGACTCCAAATCCTGGTACTTTCCAAGGTTAAGGAATGCGGTAAAATGGTTTTACTCCTTTGTCAAAGAGTAGGAGAAAATATGCAACAATATAAGAGGACCACTTTCCTGATAGTCTACTAGTTCTTGATACTGAACCAAAGAGACTTTAATACATTTTAATGTTCTAGTCTCTGTTCTCACCCTGTCGTGCACCAATCTGTCAGGTCAGAACAAGTTCAGCAAGTCTGTCCAACCTTACTACACCCACTGTTACCGTAACTCAGCCTGCAACAAAGGAATCTGAAAGTAAATAATGTATTAAAGAATTCAGTGGAACAAAGCGGATAGTTTCTAAGAAGGTTACAAGCAGTTAACAAGCTGTCACATCTCACTGCAAAAATTCTCAATATCTTATTATTGGTCTTAATCTATCTGAAATCCTGTTATTCTTTTTGCCTTGCAGAGCATTAACTTTTTCAGATATATCTCAACAACGGACAAAGTCTTTATTCATCTACCAGGCCTTGACCTTCCATCTGCCATACTCGGTGAGAAAGAGCAATACTAGCATTTCAAACACACTGTTCACAATCTAAATTATTTTGTGGTCAAAACATATTTTGGCAGGATAACGGCTGACTAAATTTTTCTTTCTTGGGTGTGGTTCTCTGTGTAAATAACATTTGGAAATATATCAGACATGTACAAGAAAGGTGAAAGAGAATAAATAACTGAGTGAAGTGTTTTAATAATACACAGCTTTACGCTGGCTTCGCCTTGCACAACTGCACTACATACATAGGACAGACACACTTATTTTATTTATAACATCATTTAAAGGTCCAGTGTGTAGGATTTAGTGGCATTTGCTCTGTATTTGCATTTCCCTCACTTCACCCTAGAGCCAGTGTTTGTCCCTTCTGGACTACTGTAGAAACATGCGGTTCAACATGGCGGACTCCATGGAAGGCGACCCGTGGCCTCGGTATATATAAAAGGCTCATGCATATTATATTCTATTACTGCCAATAGATCCTCCTAAATGTTACACACTGGACCTTTAACACTGATTGCATGTGCAATATATTCCCTGAGATGAACGATCAATAATTAGTGTGTGTGAATCTTAAAATCTCTTCAGGTTCTCCTTCATTTCAAAGTCATCACATTTTTCTGGTGCAAATACAAGCAACACAAGGGAATGACATCATCATTTCAATTATTACTACTAATTCCATGTTCATATAGTCTTATAAATCCCCCTTTTCACATACAATGTTAGTATGCCCATAAGTGTAAAGTTGACATCAGTTTCCACAGTCTTTTGGAAGCAGGCTTGTAAGGACATGAGTAACACTCACAGCTGCCCACTACTCCTGCACACACATTCAAACCTACACATGCAAGGACCCAGACCAGGTCTTCAATAAACAGATGCTGTAATCAGGGTGCTGCAATCTGTAAAACCTTCAATATGTTTGAGATACAACACATGTCACTGATATTACAGTTAATAGCACCAAATGGCATTCACCATAATGGCATTCAATCCTGGAGCTAATGGACTGACTCATCACTACCTGAACTATGAGTCACAGGTTTTTTAATCTTTTGAGCACCACACCTAAATCAATTATCATTTAACTTGCCTCAGTAGTTGATTAAAGCTTGTATTAAAGCCAGGGGTTCATTACTCAGAGTCATGCTGGTCTTGATGCTCATGGTTGCAGCACTCATTGTGTTTGTGATCCAGTTCCAGCTGTTTCATCATCTCCTGTACAGCAGCCTGAAGAGCTCTCGCCAGGTCCTGGCTGCTGTAGGGTTTCCCCAGTGGAGGCACATGGATGAAGGCAGAGCGACCGTGCCCCAGGTGCAGAGAGGTGTAGTAGGTGTAGTCACACAGATACCTGCCAGGGAGCCACAGGATGGATGTTATGTTGTGTAAAGTTTTAATGATCACATTTCTACTTCACCAAACAGACAAGAGAGTATCAGAAAATATGGTAGTGTCCGTGTGAGGGGGATGACAGCTTTGCACAGCAGTAGGTCCCGCAGACTGGTCAGACATTTCAAAATAAGACATAAAACAATTGTAATTATTTTGCACATTTGTAACTATTCAGTGTAAAAAGAGAAATATTTTCCATTATTAAGTGTAGGTGTAGATATTTATGTCTAGGAGATGTTGACAAAAATTTTACTTGAAGTCAATAAAGATATTGTATATCTAATATAAAATAAACAAACTTCTATATATTTTGTGCATATCAGACTAAACTCCTAGATGTATGGTCTTGTGGCCTTATTGAGAACAGGCATGAAAATGGAAGCAAAGCGATGTTTAGTTAGTAAGTTAGTTAGTAATATATTTTCCTATATTCAAAATGTTAATAATGTTGTTAATGATATTAGTAACACTTGTGCTGTTCCTGTGTCAGTGTCTTCATGTGTGAATTTCCCTGAGTAAGTAACATCATTACCTTCCAGCATCTTTAGACACAGAAAGAGTGACCCCGAGGCCAGAGTCATTGACCCTTTTACAGACAGTATCCATGTCCAGGACCGAGTGTATGCAGTCGGGGCCATTCTCTATGCAACACCGGGAAGTTGGGCAGAAGCTGCAGTTGTCCGGACGTTTGTAACCGTTGTTGTGGCCGCACTGCTCCAGAGTGACAGTGGTGGCTAACCCAGAAACACCGACATGGACCACTAACTGCTCGCAGGACCCCAAAAGACAGAGGAGGCAGAGGTATTTATGGGCCGATTGATGGATTTTTAGCAACATATAGAATTGTGTATGTTCTTGAATACCTGTGGCTGGTGCTCTTTCCACAGTGATGGCAATAGGCTCTGAACAGCCTGGTATTCAACGGGCACCTCACACACATGAAGATCTACTGCTTCACCCAGCCCTAATCGCTCCAGTTCCTGTGAGCACAGAACACACACACACATATATATAGAGACCTTAGTTGCAATCTTAAAGTGTGTAAAGCACAAGTCTTTTAATAGTACCTTTGTTTTCCCTGTTTATTTTTATTGAAGCATTTTCAATATTTTGAGAGATACAATTCAGTAAGCCAGTTGGCAGAACATAGATCATTATTAATGTTAATTTGGTAATGAAGTTAAGTTGGGAGAAATCTAAATAGTAAAAATAAATAATATAAAAAAATACTAAACGATATATAAAATTATAAAAAGGAGGGAAGGGGACTGGATTAGGTATAAGTGAGTCACTTTAGTCCAATCCAGTCAGGTTTGCTGTGGATTTCGTCCTAAAAGGAAATAAAGGGGGACCAGATCTTTTTAAAGTTATCCAACTTATCTTTCAGAGCAAACCTTTTTCTCTCTAAATGGAGAGTATTGGACAACTGCAGCCTTTGTTAAAAATGAACCACCTGATTACTGATTACCTGCACTGCCACCCAGCTTGAGTTCACTGCATGTTCGCCAAAAGGCTCAAAACCTGCAGAGGAAAGAATGTTAAACAGCAGTCTTCACCGCAGTAAGGGTGCACAGAGCAGCAAAGTAGATAAAAAAAAAAATCAGTGAGGATGCTTATCTGTCATACTGAGAAGTGATAAGGGTTAATGTAAAAAAGGGCCTCTTAATTCAAAGTCTAAATGTTACACCAAGTTAAACATTAATTGTAGTAGAAGCACATGATACACTGAATGATGCCCTCCTGGCAGTTGAGCAATTAAGGAGTGTTGTGTTGCAAAAAAAGATTAAATTTAGTGTCAGTCTTTGTTTCCCTATAAACCAGCAGACCAAACCCTTCTTCTGACAGCAGCATTACTCTCTGTAGAACATTATTTTTAAAAACAGTGTCATTACTTATTTATAACATAAACCATTAAGTCATTTTAACCAGATCAACTGTGCAGCTCAGACACAAGTAAAAACAACTCTATGAGCCACAATAGCAGTGCAGTGACATTAAATGAATCATTTATTCCTGTGACCAATTAAAACCTCTCACCTGTTACTATTACTTTCTTCTTATTTGCCATTATCCTTGGTTGTTATGACAGGAATGGTCATAGATTTACAGTAAGGGGATCAAACAAGAATCCCAGGATTGTCTACGCTGGCTGCTGTCTTCTTCTGGCTGAGAGCTGAAAGGAAATGACACACCAGATCTGGATGGATCACACTGCCATCTACTGTATGGGCATGCATCCATACACAGAAACAAAGAGAACTCATGAATTTTGTATTTTTTCACCTTGCACCACAAGACAGTTTTGGAAAGCCGACAGGAGAAAATGAAAACCGATCCTTTTAATCCGAGTGTTTTAATGCAATATGATGTAATTCAAGCCACATGTGTGCTGTAAATGAAAACTGAGCATCTGCACTGCATTTGCATATTAAGGGTTAGAGAGGACGTTTTATAAGTGGGCGGCTAAAGTGAATTAAAAAAAATGAGAACTGTTGAGACAGCCCATTAATGAACATGCAACCCCCAACCAGCTGCTGCAGTAGAGCTGCTTTACTGGGCTGCTCCCAGGTGTGAATGTATGCACTGTAACAGCGTGAGTGTGACACAGGGCGTTGCTGAACATACATGCCCAGTTAGCTTCTCCCAAGAGAGTTAAAGTCAAAGGACAGTTCTCTGGCTGAGGGAGGAGGAATTGAAAGGTTACACAACCTCTGACACACTCCATCACCTGAGTTTAGAGGACAAACCCTTTTTTCCCCCCCAGTCTGTTGTTAAGAAGGCAGAGCTAATCTAATATCGCCTTACAGGAACAGCTCCTTTTTTCTTTTTAAATTCTCGGCGCACTCTGTGGTCCACACCCTTGGGTTGCGAAATGACTCACACATTCTGGACACTGCACCCTATGTGGCCCTGAGCTGGCATAATGGAGATAATATGCTCTCCATAGGGTGGAGAAAGCAGAACCTTTCTCTCATTCATGATAGAGCCTCTGTGCTTATAGAATCAACATTGAATTCTGCCTCTCAACCACATCACTCACGCACTGTAACACCTCCTCCGACCACCTACACAACCTGCACTGCAGTCGCTAACAGCCTCCTCTTCTCCCTCAACCCATTCACCTTTCTCTCTCTCTAACACGCCTGCGTCACTTGCTATGTCAGTGTTGCCATGGAAACTAATGATGCCCTCTCTGCTCCACGGTGCTGATGCAGACAGCCTGCTGACGTCCTCACTGTGTATGGGCGGAATAACAATATTCTACTGTAGTTTCCACCTCCCCTCCACACTCAGTGCCTTATACTGTATAATGGATGTACACTGCGTTTGTCTCTTTTAATTTGTATTCTATCATGTTCTGTTCTATTCAATAATTATATTATATATATTATATTGTATACTATTCTATAAGGCTCTATTATGTTCAATAATGTTCCTTTCTAATCAGTGTCTTCTATTCCATTCTACTCTATTCTATCAGACATTTACACAATACTAGGTATATACTTCTGTATTGATGTTCTTAGATTAAAGAGCATCTATCATTCATATTATTGTATGAATATTAATAATGTATTTCTTTATTTTGATAAAAACAAATAAATATGTTTAGATGCCTGAAATTTGACAGCTTTGTACTTCATTGTTATGATTACTAAAGCTATGAAAAACAATCCTATATATACATATAAACACGATGACAACCGCAGCCATTAAAACCGTGACATACAATGTGTTTGTAGTGTACAAAAGGGTCATTTTAGGAATCTTTCTACATCCTACTTTCACTCACAGAACACACATGGTTTCCTCGTTCTACTGTCAATGTTTCCTTCCCTTTTCTAGTTTCACCAGAAACACTTTCAGAACACTCTGAGACTTTATTACACCTCATTTCAAGACTCTTTCTGGGTCTTGTCCCTGTGAGGGTTAAATGTGACCATTGATACTGAAAGAGCTACAACAAGAGGTGTTGTAGTCTGATGAATTGGTATTAAATTTTAATTTTAACACATAGACTACTTAAAAAATATTATATTTAGACCTGCCTATTATATTCTGTTCTAGTCTACTCTAGAACAGCAAAGATCCTCCAGACTCTCATTTCTTGGAAGAATACACTATAACTCGGATGTTAATACTCAAATCAAATCCGATCTAAAGCGAACTATTCTGTTCTTGAAGTCTTTTAAAACAGCCTGAGGTGAAGGGGTATTTTCTATACGGCCTGCTCCTCTGTTCTTCTTTTCCTTGGCCTTCGCCTCTTCCACCTTCCCCGCCCAGTCTCTGCTCTCTCTTGGCGACCCTGAGCTTTTTTATGCTATGACATCAAACCACAATGCATTGCACTGTTTGTAGTTTACTTAAAGTCTCCATGGCAATAAAGACCGGCTCGGCCCCTTATTCAAATCGAACCGGAAACCAACGTCATTTTGGGCCAATCTGCGCGCTCTGGAGTGACATAATGGAATTTTTAGGGCTAGAAAGCGAGCGAGGTCTGGCGCTGCGCATAGCAGTCGTGCCATCGGGAAAAGACAATATCCCCCGCGCGTAGCAGAGACACATCAGAGCCCCTCAGGCACAACACCTCAAGTGGTCGACAGATAGAGTGATTGATACACGAAAGGGGGGAAAAGGAAATAGGATCACATAGAAATAAGGATCAGCTGATTTCCTCATGTTTGGATGTGACTGCTCAGCAATCGTTAATGCGTAACGCTCAACACTCCCTCATGTGAGGGTGTAGAATGGAAACAACCCTCTACCCAGGCACCGTGGTGAATACTCCGAGGGTCCCCAGCATCTATTCCCAGAGCACGATGATGAAGAAGGATATTAATCTGAACCTGGACGACCAGAACTCCTCCGAGCTCAAATCAAACCCGCTCCGAGACACAGACGGACTTCTCAACTCTCCAGACTTGGGACTCTTGAAACTAACCTCTCCGGACCTGGAGCGCCTTATTATCCAGTCAAACGGTCTGGTCACCACCGCCAACCCGACCTCCCAGTTCCTCTACCCGAAGTCGGCCAGTGACGAGCAGGAGTTCGCGGAAGGTTTCGTCAAGGCGCTGGAGGATCTCCACAAGCAGAATCAGCTGAGCGAGGCGGGGTGCGTCTCTGTGGACAGACTGGAGCTCCTCGGATCCACCAACGCGGTGGGGACCGCCGGGCTCCAGACATCAGACCTTCCTGTATACACTACTTTGAACGGTTATGCGGCCAGTCCGCTCGGAGCCACCACAATCAACTACTCCACGGACACCATCCCCTTCCCGCCGCCTCCGTCTCATCTGGCCAGCGCGCAGCAACAGGCGGTCGCTGCGGCGGCGGCTCTGTCACGACTCCAGTCTGCCGGTTTGGTGAAGGACGAACCTCAGACGGTACCAGACATGCAGAGCTTCGGGGACAGCCCCCCTCTGTCTCCTATTGACATGGACAACCAAGAGCGCATCAAGGCGGAGAGGAAAAAGCTGCGGAACAGGATAGCCGCCTCCAAATGCCGCAAAAGAAAACTGGAGAGGATATCTCGGCTGGAGGACAAGGTCAAGAGCCTGAAAACGCAGAATACCGAGCTGGCATCCACAGCCAGCGTCCTCAGGGAGCAAGTGGCCCAGCTGAAGCAGAAGGTGATGAACCACGTCAGCAGTGGGTGCCAGCTTTTGCCAAACCAGGTCCAGGCTTACTAAACCCCTGTAATGGTGCTCTTCATGGATGATTTTTTACAGCTCTAAATATGCTCTGAGGATACAGGCCTGTATTATGAGGATCATTTACCTTTAGTAATCTAAAGTCCTTATCAGAGACTTGATAATGAGGCCACTGTAAATGCACCCTCCAGATAATAAAGCCTGTAACTGAGAAACCAAACAGACATCTGCATTTGCAGTGTAGAGATGAACAGGCCTTGATGAGAGCTGGACAATGACAGGTTAACCAGCAGCAGGTGAGGGCTGCAGCCTCCTTTGATTCATGAAAATCTGTCAGTGTTGTGCAGCAAACAGACTTATTTTGTTGCCCTAATGGGTTTTATTTTTATTTTTTTATTTTTTTGGGGGGGAGGGGGGAGCCATGTAGCAAACTGCTATCCAGTGGACTGGTGAAGGATAGCATTTATCTGTGTGTGTAAGCTGGACAATCTCAACAAGAGTGCAACCAAACACCAGGGTGTCACCAAGTGCTGTCATCCACCGTGTAATATAATGCCTTACTTGTTTACAAGCACTTAGCAATGACAAATATATATATATTTTATTTACTGAAACATTTCTTATGGTCTTACTTCTTGTTGTTCTTTTTATTTTTTCTTTATGCAAAAACGAACACTGCATGTCTTGTCGCTTTTGTGTACAGTAACCATTGTATTTTTCATTGTGGTGGCTGCTGTGTAGTTCTCCAGTCGCCACTTCCATGAATGTATGTGTACATGCTGAGAAACCCTATGTATCCATGTGTAATGGACTTTCAAGTCTCTACCTGACATTTATTAAATTCACTACATTCTAACTGCTCATGTGTTTTGTTTCTTACAGGCTCTGCTTGCTTTGTTGTAGTTAGAAGGAACATTTTCAAGGATAATATATGAATGTATACCTTTACATTTATCTAATCTCGTCTACAGACACTGTGGGTGTGAAGTGCAGTAGAGAAGCTGAACCAAACCATAGATGGTCAAACAACTCTGAGGGTAGAAAACAAGACATTATTGCAGTATTATGCCCTCTACTGGGCACAATAAAGCTTAAACAATTTCTGAGACATCACATGTGCACTTCTTGTAAATCACTGACCTCTGGGAATAACTGTGGAGCCAACACCGAGCTACAGCTTTCAGATTTTGTTTATTGATTCCTCATTTTAGCAAATCTGGCATTACAGAATTACAGCACAATTCACACAACTAATGCCCAATGGGCAGAAAATTCCTATTTACAAGGGTTGTTTATGACAGGGTGGGACGGAGGAGGAGAGTTGAACAGGTTTTATACGTGTTTCCTAAGTCACCATCAAAGTTTACAGCTGTAGCAAAACACAATAAATAAAGTAACAAAAATCAACAAACAAGTCAAAAGTGAACCAATGCAGTAAGAATCATTATTTAATGAAGTGTTCAGAGAATTCAGTTTACTTCCAAAACATTTTCCCTTTTTGAATCTACTACACAGAGTAGGAAAACACTACCAGACAAGTTTGTTAGTGCAAGTCTAACAAATGTCGACGAAGAACAAGTGCTCTTTTTGGCTCTAAATTTATTGTCGAGATTTCTTTGGAAAGAACCATTATTAAGACTGCCTTTATACAAACTGTACATTCACACGCCCGCGTACAGCACGTGTTTTATAAACCTTTTGCAGGGTTGTCCGTTGCTGATATTTGGGTGTGGAGAGAAGGAACTGCTATTGCTCTGTGAGAACAGTCTGCTTTTACACTATCACGTCTTAAAAGTTACATAACTGATATCAAAAGACAAACAAACTTCCCAGCAAAGCTGCGTTGACATGATAAGAGATTCTCACACTGGAATGTTTAACTTTCCTCTTGAGGAAGCATCTTAATCTTTATATTCCATGTAAACAGATACATTTTCTTTTAAAAGCTGGGACAGTTGAAGCAATTGAATACTATTGAACATCTCTTTAAAAAGTAGAGTGCAGATTGCAATGCATAATCTAGGAAGGACATTATCTCAAAAATAAATAAAAAGTAAGTAATACAAAATAAATAAGTTACATTTTGGAAATAACTTAGGTGATGGAAATATTTTCGCATGCCTCAGTTCATCAGTGAATGCATGACATACAGAAGGTTTTGTACTGTATACACGAGCAGACAAATGCCTAACCTTAGCATCTGAGAGAGAAATAAAACTCACAATTTGACATTTAACATGCTTAAAAACCTCATGTTCCCCAAACATCATCTACCAATGACATAAGAGACGTTGAGTTGATGGGAGATCTGTGGTATACCAGTGCTCACACTGAATCACATGCCTTTCCAGTGAGTGTATGTTGCACACTGTATGTAGTGAATGAAAGTTAATACAATGACAAGGGGCCACATGTGAAACCTTTAACCCCATTTGATACCTCCAAGTACTGAACCTGCAGGACAGATGGGTTTTCAATTCAGACAACAGCTCATACAAATAACCATCCAGTCAACCAGAATCTGTTAAAAACATCAACAACATGCACCTCTCACTAAAGCACAGGTAGGAGTCCAAAATCCTAAGTCATTATTACTGTATAATATGTCAATTATATATGTATATATATATATATATATATTATATATGCATTATAAAATGCATATCTATTGACTTTGGAACATTTATACACTGTTCTTTATGTGGTGAAAGACATCCTTTATCCTTTTATTCTGTTGTATGTCTTAAAAAAATAGTTTAAAAAAGTCAAATCAAGGCCATCCTTCATCTGGATCAACCAAGTGACACTGCCATGGAATTTCCCTAAAAGAAAATTAAAAGAATCTAAGAAGGGGCCAATAATTAATAATAATGATAACTTGACTAGCAAACTGATATGCATGTCTATTCTTCATTCCTAAAATTAAAAGAAAAAACATCTTTCAAATGACTCTGTTTGGACGTCAAACTTGGACCACAACTATCAGTACAAACCACAACACTGGGAAGGACCAGAAATTTCATATGCTCAAAACCACACCCAACAACTTAAAAAACGTAAAAAAAGAAAAGAAAAATCTATATCCACAGCAACCAACATATACTTTCAATGGGACTAAAAGTAAAACAACTGATTTGTATCCATTTAGGTCCGAGGTGTTAGTGCTGAGTGGGGGCTGGGGTTGGAGGATCCCTCCAATATTCCCCTCCACAGCCTTTTAAATAAAAACCCAATTGCAGACACGTCAATGAGGAACGATGGGGCCTTGACTGGCCTTTTATAATTCTGTTAAGATACAGTATAGTGTGTGTGTTTGTGTATACGTGTATAAAAAAGAAAGATAAAGACAACTTGGGATTGTTCCTCTGTTATATGTTCTTCAGTCCTTTGACTAAGTTAGCACTATCACATAATCTCTGTATTACTGAAATGAACAAAAACTTTAAGATGATATTTCGGAAAACACCAAATCTTTGGGGAGAGCCGGCTCATGTGGACGGAGCTCTTGGTGTAGTGAGAGGGGTGGAGAACCTAAGCAGCCAGGTTGTGTGTCTCTGTATGGCAGTGTTTGTCTGTAATACGTGTATTTGTGTACGCGCAAATGAGAAAGAGAAGAACTGAAGAAAATTGAAAGGTGTGTGGATTTTAGGACAGCAGATAGTGCGTGAGTGTGTGGTCATGCTTAGCAAGCACAATCCTGATGGGACCTCTGAGGCTGCTCGCTGAGCTGTGGCCCCTGCTTAGCTCCAGTGACAGTCGGGTCGTTGTTGTCCAGGCTCTCCGTCATCCTCTCACAGATGATGTCCACCAGCCGCTCGAAGGTCTGCTTCACATTAATGTTATCTTTAGCGCTCGCTTCAAAGTATTCGAAACCTGCCAGGAGGGGCGACAGAGGCAAAGAGAGGCTTTGGTTACAGTTACTGTTATAATGTGAAGCTTATCCAGTTAATCCACTTATCTCATCATGTAAGGACACATCAAGGCTATGGTCAGACCAGCAGCTCAAATCTCATTCATTGTTCCTTCCATGTCAGAGTTGTGTACATATTTCCTTTTGACATATTTTTGGGGAGCTTTTTTGCCTTTATTTGATAGGACAGCTCAAGATGGACAGGAAAGGGGGAAAGAGAGAGAGAGAGAAGGGTTGACATGCAGCAAAGGACCCATGGCCGCTGCAACAAGGACTGTTGGTAAATGGGGCATCAGCTGTACCAGGTGAGCAACCAGGGCGCCCTGTGTACAGATTTCTAAATGATATCTATTCGTAAGTCACAAGATCATACTTAAACCTCTTTCATGGGTAGTTTGAAATTAAATCTAATGACAGTCAAATTACAAATGATACAACGACTCAGCCTGACTACTCTGATCACTCCCCGGATATGTTGCAGCAGAAAGAGCAGAAAATAACACTGAGCTTGTCGAAAAAAAGCCGCTACCTGGCTCTTTGTGCCACTGCAAGTTGCGTTATGAAGACTGTGGTGCTGATTATCAGACCAAACACATGATGCGAGTTCAGACTTATCTTGGCCTGGCTCATTGCATAACTGATTTACAGTTATTTCAGTCTAAACTGTTGTAACATCAGTTCAAACATGGTGAAATTATGCACTGTGGCAAGTGTAATCATGATGACTTACAGTATGCCAACTGCAAAACCGGCATTAAAAAGAGATGAAGACAGAACTGAATCAAAATCTTAGACGGTCCGAACATAACCCAAACGTTATGAATCTGACACATTTTTAGATGCATAATTTATACATCCTCACGCCTTATTTGAAGGAAGTGGTTCATGATTATATTACATTTTCAGTAATGCTCCCAGGAGAGAAAGAGAAATACCATTAGTGGAAAAACCACTAGTCTTGTGAAACTAGCAAATCACTTCGTAAGATAGAGAGAGCTGGATGTCCCGAGCAACATTATATGGTACAGTGTTTAAAAGCAGGTTTTTAAAACTCTCTAATTGTTTCCACTCGTTCTTGTTTTAGCAACGAAAGCTGAGAGAAAGTCCTCAGTCTCTACTGACTATTGACCAGTGGACTTACCTAGCTGTTCTGACAGCTGCCGGCCCCTCTCTGCAGCCACCACTCGCTCATCCTCCATATCACACTTGTTCCCCACCAAGAGGACCTGGGCATTGTCCCATGAGTATGTCTTGATCTGAGTCGACCTGTTAGCAAATATAGCACAAGGGGTTCAGCTATAGACTGAATCAAACCAGCATCTTTTATTTCTTGGAATAAAGCAGGAGAAAAGAAAAGAAAAATCATTATCATTCATATGGGTTATAGTGACATTTTAATCACCCGTTTCATTTTGGGATATGAGAAATATCCAATAGTAATAGCTTCAGGGCTAACATAACACAAAAGACCACACAGATTTTAAACAAATCAAGTTTAACATAATCATCTAACCCACTAACCTGGATAAGAAAACAACGGCCAGTGATATATGATAGTAATTATTTGATATTAACATCTATTCTGCTTAGTTACATTCTGATTCGAGTTGTTGTGCAAACATGAAGTTTCACAAAGCAAAATGACAATTTAAACAGACATCATTAGTGCTTTCATCTGTCTTTTCACTTGCAATTAAGTCCTAGATAACTGGATTAAATTGAGAAGATGTTTGAAACCTGTCTGACTCTCTTGAACACTCATGTGGTTGTTCCTCCCACTATGTGTCTTTTCCAAGAAATCCCTGATACCAGATATTCAGCTGACTGGCACATTGTGATCACAAACAACAGGAAAGGTGAATGATACTAAAGAAATAAGATTGTAGGTTAAGTTGCCACCTTCATACACACAGACTTGCATACACACCAGTCTTGAACAGCGTTAAAGGACTCCTCATTGGTGATGTCATACATGAGGATGAACCCCATGGCTCCCCTGTAGTAAGCTGTGGTGATCGTCCTGTAGCGCTCCTGGCCAGCAGTGTCCTATATAAATACACACAGACACCAGTGTTTTTAGTTGACAGTTATTATATATTATATTAGTATATTTTATTGTCAAAATGAAAACAAACTTCAAAGAAGAAAACCTCAGGTTGCGGCCTAAACATGGCCATGTCCATGTAGGATTAAATAAGCACTGAGAACAAGACAGCAGTGTGTGGGTATTCTTTTGTCTTGTGCAGGTTACTGTCACCCAGCACCTGCAAAGAATTTATGACATGTGCCTCCTGATGGTTGCTGAGGTTTAACATTCAGATATCTCCCAGGAGCATTAGGTATTCCTCTGGTGTTGCATGTAATAAGCAATTGGTCCTGGAGTCAGGCTTTATGGCTTACATTAAGTACACTTCAAGGGTATTGTCATTACACAGCAGATGAAGTGATTCAGGGGACTGGAGAGGCCAGTTCAACAGCTGGTTTTCATTATATTCATGATAATAGAGAGCATTTTGGGCAGCATGAAAAACAACCATAACCCTAAGACAATCTGCATGTGAAAAAAGTTTCTTTAATTTTAATGAATCAAAACCATTTTTTTGCAGGCTTGTTGAATTATAATTACTGTAGAGCTGAAACGATTAGTTGATTCATCAATTAGTGGATCAACAGAAAATAAATCTTTTAATTTAATTTTAGGAGGCACTTTTAAAACAAAATGATCTGGTTGCAGCTTCTCTGATGTGAGGATTTGCTGCTTTTCAGTGTACCATTGGAATGGATGTTTTGATGATTATTTGAGAAAATACTTTCAAACCTTTCTACCACACAATAGTTCTACCATTAGAGAAACCATCAAAAGAAAAGTTTATATTTTATAGCTATTCAGCTGTCAGACACTCACAGACACTGTTTCTCTAATTATAGTGAAGGCCTGTTTTATGCTGAGCGTTAACTACATCACCATGTTATGAAGAAGAATATAAATATCAGATTGGACTCTGTATCAGTACATATAGAGAAAACACAGATTGTGACAATCTGCAGCATGCCTGGATGCATGTGTATATTCACTTCCTCACCCAGATCTGCAGTTTTATCCTCTTGTCATTCCTGTAGATGGTCTTGACCTTGAAGTCGATGCCCACTGTGCTGACAAAGGCTGGCGTGAATGAGTCGTCTGCGTAGCGGAAAAGGAAGGAAGTCTTTCCTACGCTGCTGTTGCCAATGATGAGGATTTTAAACATGTAATCGAAGTTCTGGTCCGTGGACTCCTTCTGTCCGTATGTGGCATTTGCAGACGCCATCTATGCAAGGATTGAGATCACATATTAATCAGTCACAAGGAATTACACTGAGGTGGACGAAGAAATAGAAACACCTTACAATATAACCCAATACAACAACACCACGACCACAAACTATACTAAATAATCAGTGTAGATTCAAAGCCTTTCTGGCAATGTCTGCAAAAGTAACATTATATTTACAAAGGTACAATAGAGATGGTATTTGATTCTATAAGATCGTGCAGGTTTTGTATTCATGACCATGTGTCCAGTGTCAACCCCTGTAGTTACAGTGTCATACACAATTCCTCTGCCACTGGCTGAAACATTTCATGTTTCGTGAAGATAAATGGTAAAAATGAAAAAGAAAATAAAAAAATTCTGCCTCTACCATTTTATACAATTTTACTGTTCTGGTTCTGGACAGATTGACACACTTTGTCAATTAGTTTGCATTATTTTGGATTTTTCATACTGAATTTGTTGAAATTGAAAATTGAATTTATAAGTTAATTCACGAACCACATCGTAAGCATATTCAAGAATCAAAAAAGTCTTTGAAACGGGAAACTACTGATTTCAAGATTAGCACGATCAAACCCCTGATATCAGCAAGAGACATCCTCTGAAGCTACTTTTAGACTGACACAGCAGATTCAGGTTTCTGTTGTCTAAGCTTTACAGTAATGTCAAAACCTCTAAACCACAGAGATCTTAAAAACATGGAGACAAAACATCCTCAAGTTATTCAAAGTAACATGAACACAATGAAATTTAGCGAGCCTGAGGAAAGAACATTAAATGACCAACTATTGAGTAGCTTCACTGATGTACTGAGCGTTTTCACATCTTTTTAAAGACAGAAATGTATGCAGAAATACATTAAGAGGGCCTGGCAGATTCAAATATCAAATTTACAGGACTGACAAACTTATGTACCTCTGTAAAACACCATGAAACTAATGCACAGATACAGATCTACATTTCATCATCATCTTTCAGACAGACCTGAACACCTAAATTCGTAGGCCATTGTTAAACAGCCTCACGCATACAATTTAACACGTGATGGGGTTAAATAATGTCAGTATCATCTGCTGTATGAGTTCGGGTTACACACCATATGGTACCTCATATATTTATCAGGGAAATAAAATGATGAAGTCGTTCCGCCAAGAAGAGACTGTGTCAATACAGACAGCCAATAAAACATACACAGCCTTGAGTGCTTCTACTTCATGTCAATAATACTGGTAGGACAAGGAATGCACACCTCCGCCCCACACAAGATAAGAGGACGGAAGTACCAGGGCTTAGCAGGCTAAGCATCAGCTAAACTGACTATCCATTCCCATCCAGGAGGGCAGGGAACATCCGTGGAGCGCTACGCTAGCCAGCCAATTATGAATGACCATATGGCTGGCCAGAATACCTTGTAGTAAATTAGACTGACAAACAGTCAACGCCTATAATGCACACTGACTCTTTATGAACACATCATGTCCCCAATGTAAACGGCCTAAACCACATTCCCAATCCACAGCGGAGCTTATCTGGCCACTGGCGTTAGCTTGTGTATGTAGCTGCCTGAATTATTTGACAGTCTGGTCCACGTTAGCAGGAGAAAAACCTAGAAAACACATTACAATGCGATTTGTTTCACATTACTTACCACCTAAAATAAAGACTCAACGATTGTTAAGGATGTGGAAGCAATACAGTTTTTTCTGGCCTTTGAAAATGCATTAAATCAGGCTAGCATTGCTACCTTTAATGCTAACCCAGCAGACCGTTACCAGTGTATAAAAGTGGCAGCAGGAGCTAGCTAAGCATCCCAGCTATGTCAAATGAAGGTTACTCTTCCTTATTTACGACTAAATGTTCGGTCTAAATCCAGGATATGACAAGCGACAAATAATCCACACGCTAGCTGCTCCCACAGTTAGACTGAACACGGCCTCACAATGAGAAATAAGCGCAGGGTTTACCATGAAATGTGCGTTTTATCCTCGGCTTCGCAGCAGCAGCGCCTGGCCCCGTGCACAGCTTTGCACCTGCAGTAGCTCGTGCGTCTGTTGATTGACAGCCCCGGCATAAGAGGGTGCAAACAGAGTGTAAGGATGATTGACAGGACCATTGGCCAATCAGAGGAGAGAAGTCCGCGCACTCGCAAAGCGCCCCGCCCCCTACTCGTCTAGAAGTTGTTTTTAAGAGGTTTTTAATTTAGTATTGTAAGGATAGTAAATGTAGTAGTGTTAGGTAAATGCTGCAATGCCACAGATGAAACAATATCATAGTAATAAATGTTATAAATAATGTTTTTGAGGCGTCATCAGGAAAATATATTATTCAAAAGTAATGAGATCTTTCAGAGTATCTAATTTTATTATTGGATTATTATAAATAACAAAGATGCATAAACATTAGAAGCATTTTAATGTCTTAGCTAATTTGAACTATTTTATATTCTTTGGATAGTTTAATCTGTAACAGTGCATATATAAACTCATTAATTGTTTGTATGTAAAATCTTAATACCTAATAACTAAAGCTGTCAAATAAATGTAATGGATTAAAGAAATATAAGATTTCTCACCAAAAAGAGAAGTAGCCTAAAGTACCTGAGTTTTTTTTACTTAGTTTTGACTTTATATTGTGCAAAATCCTGTTCTTACTCTTCATCGAAGCCCTTAAGATGTTTACACAGGTGAAATACTCAAACCACAAGACTTCATTATTTGAATGGCTGTATTTTGCATATCTTATACACACTCTAGATCCAGTCTGATATATTTAGGATTTCAAAATAAAGTAATCGGTTTGAACAATGATTGGCTGTATAGTATGACTTATATAGTATAATGACAAACCCATCAGCAGGCTGCTGCTTGTTAAGAGATTAACATCATGTGTAATGACCACAATAAATATCTCCTACATATCAGTGATAAGTGCATTTTTATTCATGATGATGATGAAGATGCTTGTTAATCAGCATGAACAGGATTATTTTTTGCAAACGTTCTATTCATGTCTTATTATTTAGTTTCCTCATGAAAGTAGAGAACAAGACATCAAAGAGTGAAGAGTTTTTCCTTTATTGCCAAGGCATACAGTTCTAGTTGTAGAGAGGGCTAACACACCCGCAGTTAAACAGCAGAGTTTGGATTGTCAAAGTTGCAGAGTCTTAGTTCATGACCCATATTCATAAAATCTCTAAGAACAGAAATACTGATCTAGGATGGCTTGAGGCCATATGACTATATTATCTTCACTATGAATCAAAGAAGTCTCAGATCAGCCACACTTACTGTAAGATCCTTCATGAATACGCAATCTGACCAGATCGGTTGATACAGAGGAAGACAGGAGAGGAGAGATGTTTTAGAAAACCCAGAAATCTGTCACTCAACTATTTTTATACCAAGAAAAGCATGAAAGTGAGTATTTTTGCTTATGTATAATGTTATTTGCAGACATAAAGAATGAAAAGAGAAGGAAAAAAGCTGAGTAATAGTTGAAATCTGTCCTGTTTGACTTTCTCACACATCAAGCTACACATAAGTACTAAACCTCAGACTAAAATAAAGTCTACTGTTCCATCGTTTCTGACAGATAATATAGAAATAATAAATAAACTGTACATGAAGCACTGTGAGGAAAATGTACAAAATCAAACAATTAGTGACATGCAGAGAGACAGACTGAATCTTCGCATGTTGTGCTGGTTAAGCTGTTGTTAAATAGTCCTTGGTGTTGAAGGCATCCTTGAGTGTTGGTCTGTTTGGTGCTGTTTATGGCTGCAGAAAGGATTGCACATGTTTTACTCCAGCATGTAAGTGAACACATCTATGACCAGAAAAAAATAAAAATAAAATCCCAAGTTTGAAAATAAGGCGACGAAAAAAAAACGGGGGAAAAAAAACCTTTCAGCTCATTCACACGTTAAAACATGATTTACTCTTTTTCCATGGTTATAAAATAAAATGTCTCCACAGGCTAAGTTTTGTTAGTACTCTATATACTCTTCATATTCTTTGAATCCTGCAGCCAATGTCATGCATTTCAACACATTTTTTATACAGTCAATTATAAAAAACAAAACAACTTCAGTCCCTCCAAAATCCAATCTTTAAGAGCTGTATTGGTCCAGCCCGTGCAATTCAACTCAACCACCAGGCCGTTCGCCAACAGAAAAACAGTGAAACAGTCACGTTATACATGTTCAACTGTACTGGAAGTGCAGAACTGTAAAAGTACCATACAAAGTGCTTTGGTTTTTTCTTAGCAAATACATCAAAAAAGTCAACCCAGTCATTCACTCACACACACAAAAAAAACAACAACACATCACTGTTTTAAGACAATATCAGTTTCAGTTACTGTTTGAAGAGGAGTTAGAAAAAAAGGAACAGAGACACTGGGGTCAGATTGGCACACAGGGTGCTACAATCAACCAACTTTATCAGTCACTGATGGAAAGTAGCCAGTGGCAAAATGGAAATTACAGTACGGGTTGTGTCATGCTTGCTTGGCACTTGTTTTGTCATTGACTATGTCCCTGTGAAGAGCGAAATATTGATCAATGAGAGAAAAAAGATGAAAATAATTCTGGCACAGGAAAATGTCTCTCGGTAACCTCTTGGATTTTGTACAGTTACAATGATGCTAACATCTTGTTTGCAAACTTTATGTTTATAATACACTGCCTCTATCAGTCTAGTAAATTATGCAAGTGGGTATTACCAAAAAGGGTATTTCAGTTGGTGGATGCTGTGTTTGACCCATAATGTAGTAATGATAATGGATCTGAATGGATAGTTTAATGCATTTGTAGCTGTACTGTAGGGTTTAGTTTTTGCATGTCTGTGCTGGTTTCTTAACAGTGAATGACAAACTGTTTTGCAGTCAATAGCCTCCAATGTGTTCATATTTTGGCTCAAGCCCTTAAAACCCACAATGAGGGCTAGCAATGAACAAAACTGTAAAGTGCTATACTTGAAGGCAAACTGATAAAAATGGGTGCCAAAAATTAGGAACGCAAAAAAAACCATTAGTGACTTGAAATAAAATTCTAAAAAATCCAACAAAAATAATCAAAAGCGCAACAACACTGAAACATAACTGATATTTTGGGTAGTCCTACAGTTAAATACGTTTTGAATGTATTTTCCATATAAGCCTATGCAAAACCTTGCAAATCATTTGCCTCCAATTCCAGAACTTCAGTTCCACTTTTCAACACTAGGAGGCACCATGTGCACAGCCCACATTGCTCTCCATGCGTGTACAACACTACCTGACCCTGGCTCAGTTTTGTCGCTGTCACAATATCATAGTTTAGGATTATAAAAATGGAAATAGTAAGCCTGAAACAACTGAAAATCTCAAAATAATATGTACTGCTAGCCACTTCATTGTAATCACATTCTTCTTCCACAACAACTGCCTGCTGAACACAATGAAACGGGCTGTGCAACACCAGCTGAAAGGAGCGCTACGTTTACAACAGTAATGATACAGTCACTCAAAATGTCTGCTACATTTAAAGATTCCTGCATAAAATAATGCATAGCTCCTTTCTGCCATAACTTTCCTTACACTGCTTTGAAGTCTGCTATTGACTGTATCTCCACTTGCTGCATTTCACTGTGTATGGAAGTAAATAAAAGACAACAGAATAAACAAATAAACGAAAAACTAAAAAGGCAGGCAAAACAGCGTTGTCCCTGTAAATTGCAAGTTTGGCAAAATGTCTTACAAGACTTTGTTGTGTTTTCACGGCCATTCATCACTTCCTCACTTTCTCCATAAATACTCCAAAAGAGGAAGACAGTTCTGTCATTTGTTGTAGTAGACCTTGGGTTGGCTGGTAAAAAGGGAAGTTTTTTTAAACTTCTTATTGTCTCTGTAGAACTTTATCCACATTACGTCTGAGTGAAAGATACAGAACACAAAGGACCGCTCAGAAACTTGGTTTCCTGTCCTCTACTGGACAGTGAATCAGTCTATCTGTCTCTCTCCAGTGCAAGTGACTGCTGTGTAAAACTGCAGACTTTCTTAACACCACCCACACCCATCCGCACTCTCCTACTCCCCACCCCGAGGCTTGCTGTCACCCTGTCCAGAGGTGGTGTTTGGTTGGAGTGGGAGAAGGTGAGTGACAGAGGATGAGGCACCGAAATCAAGAAAAACAAACAAAAAAGGCCAAAAGAGATACAATTTTGACTGGTGCTATGTGCCAAGTCTGAAGCGTGGTACCTCAGAGACGCCTTCCTGGTCTGTCTCTCTGTCTTCTGCCATATCTTTCTCAGAGTCTAAAGAAAACGTCCTGCCTGAATCAGTAGTGAGCATTCTGGGAAGCAGGCGGGTCGTAGCAGACACTGCATCAAATCCACTGCCAGAATCAGTTCTGGAGAGTTCAGCCCCCCTGCTGCCGCTATAGCCCTCCTCTTCCTCAGGTGGACTCTCACTGTCAGACTCTCCTTCTTCTTCTAAGGTCAGCTCGAACTGGAACTTGTCGGCCGAAGTGGAGCCACCACACCCACCGAGTGCTGAGGCTTCCCCAGCCAGACCTCCCTCTTCCTGGCCCTCTGGGTTGGGTGAGGGGCTGTGGGGGATCATGCTCTGGTACCACTCTCTGTTATCCTCCAGTGTGTCCAGAATCTCCTGAGCATCTGGGTGGACAAGGTCGGCCCATGTCTCCCACAGAGGATGAACGATGTAGTCAATGAAACCAACCTGAAAGAGAGAGGAAAGATGTGGTATATATCTTTAGAGGTATTCTTTTCTGAATCCTTTTTTTTGTATAATTTTCACTTTTTCTTCACTAGTTCTACATTTCAATTTTACACTTTATAATGATTTACAATAGATTTCAATGCACTAAGTGCTGCAGCTTCTATTCTGTACCTGGTTCTTCTCTATTGAGGCATTTTGTTTGTCACACATAGGGCTGATCTCCATGCCCTTGTCTCTCTCCCTGTCCCCCTGGGTGAAAAACTCCACCATGATGCGGTCTGTCCACTGCCGATACAGCTCAAGAGGCTTGGTGGGGTTGCTCAGGTCTGCACAGTGTACCATGTTCTGTAGGACCTGCAAAAACAAGAGAACAGTTTGAAAATATCCAATTTAAAAAAACACTTTTTAAACATTTTTAGTTCTTTTGTTCCACCTTATACTGAATTTGTAAATGTATTGATACCTTAGCAATCTTAATACTATGAGGGATTTAACCTGAAGTGGCCATAAACAGCTGACTTCTGCAGCTGTTTAAAGAGCTGAAACTGAACCTAAACAGTAAAGTTGTGTCCGTAAAGCCAAAATAATGAGCTGAGCGGCACTAAAACACTCTGTAGAGCTGAGGGGAACTGAAGTGAAATGAGTTTGTCACCACGAGCGACACCTTTGACGTTACACTTGCTACATTCATTTTCATTGTTAATATAAAAATATGAATCAGTGCAGCTCTAACAATAAAAAAAAAAGGCAAAACAGTTCTTACCTGTATGCGGTCCGAGTAGTTGTCCAGCAGTAGGACTCCTAGACTGGTGACTTTCTTGGTCTCCACCATGGTTTTCAGGTCTGCCAGTAGGTTCATGTGTTTAGACATATCTGTGGCCAGCACCTATAGGTTAAGCAATTAGATTCAAATCATGGATTTGAACAAACATTGCTTACAAGGTTAAGAGAATTCCTGAACTTAGGCAGACAGAGAACTATGTCCACAATCTTAAGGGTTCCTCCGAGATGTCTTACCATATCAATGACCATTTTGCGCAGCGACTGTCTCTGTTTTTTGTTGAGGTTCTGAAAGATGTCACAGTTGTCTTCCTGCAGAAGCTTAAAGCCAACAGCCAGGTGGTGATTCTCCAGCACCGATGAGTCATTGTACATCAGGGCCAGCTCTGAATCTGAAGGCAAAAAAGGAAAAAATTAAAATTGTGGAACTCATCCACATAGTTAAATACACTCCTCAACACCCACGCACGTTCACATATTCCCTGGGTAGCTATTCAAACTCACTAGTGTTTATTAGGAATTGATTGGAAACTCCAGGGTGATCCACGTCATGGATGGCGCTGGCAAACAGAGCGGCGAGGATCTCCAGATCAGTAAACACAGCCTTGGACAACACAAGAAGACAGGGATAGTTAATATACGTGTTTGGATGCTCAACATGACAGGTAATGTCCAGATCCTATTGTTTTGATTAACAATAAGTCAGAGCCATCATCTACCTCCAGAGCAGGTGTGGACAGTAAGACATGTGTGGACTGGACCACATCTGCAGCATGGATGTTGTTGTGGTAGGCCACGTCCGCATGGTAATGATCCTCCAAAGTCATCATGAAGGTGATGAAAGTGTCCGCTGGAATCTTAAATGACTTCAGCAGCTCACGTTCCTACAAAAGCAGGAGAACACTGGCTCAGTCAGGGTAGAGATCAATCATTTATTCAAAAGTCTGTTAGGTTATTGTTTTATTCACTCATTTACTGTCTTGTTCAATCATTTACTCTACCGAATGCTTGAGGTTAGACAGTACAAGGACCACCCTCTGTTTGAGAAAGTACAGCAGGTTGGGATATGTTACCTGGAAGATGGTGTACATGGTGACCGTCAGCGGGCGATTCCCAGAATACTCAGAGACCTTAAAGATGTCAATACCCCATCTGTTTATGTCCTCCAACTCCTGCCAGTGGACAATAGACACACATATATACCATCACAACATAATGTACAAGAAAGAATATATTAAAAACAAAGAATAGAGATAAACAAGAGTTGACGTAGTCCTCATACCCTGGCTAGAAGTCCTTCCTGGCTGGCGTTGACCCCAAAGCGAGGGATTGTGGAAGGGGCGAGGCTGGGGCTGTGGGTGGGCTTCTTCACACCGCTGATCTGGGACATGGGCCGTTTCTTTTTGTCCTTCTCCTTGGTGGGGGGAGACATGATGTCCATGTCATGTTGCTTCTCTGTCAGAGGGAGACAACAACATATTAACTCCCTCACTCACTCTTAGTGATCACACTGGAAATGGCACTGTGCTGTAATAATGCTTTAATGTTTAATTTGTTTTAATACTTTTATTATATATTTATATACATACATAGGTATTATGTTCCATGTGTGATAATCTTACACTTACAACTAAAATGCAACTAGTAACACAGATAAAAAATGTGTAAGGTGTTAATACATCTCTTTCTATTATACTATTATACATTTTATATGATATATATGTCTATGTACAGTTTGTGGATTATACAAAGTTACAGTATTTTACCTAGAAAGGTGCTAGAGATGAACTCAGACACCTGGTTCCCTGAACGACTGGTTTCTGACAGCTGGGTGAGCTCTCGGTTCAGCATCCTCTTGAACTACAGACAAACACACACACACAAGCATCCAAAAGTCTGATCACACACATGCGTAACCATCCATAAATACACTGGGATCCCCATGTGCTTGTGTGTGCCTCACGTCACGCACAGTGCAGAAGCTTATGATTGGACGCAGAGAAATGCATGGCTGATTTTACTAGTAGTAGCCTGCACCCAAAGCACACACTGCGAACTACGCATGTGGATAGTGTTTATCAACTGATGTCTCAGAAAAAGTCCACCGGTTGTCCACTTCTTCACAAAATGAGCAACATGTGAGCCATGGAGCAGCCCCATCCCCTCCCATCCAGTTCATCCCTCGCCTCCCCTTACCTGAATGAACATCCACGACATGGAGATGAAATAACTCACTTCTGGCATTTCAGCGCAAAGTCGAGCATGGGAACAAAAATAAAATTGAGTGAGAGAGCAGCGCTTTCTGGTCGTCCGACTCTGCCTGTTCGACAGAGAAACGGACAGCAGGGACACTTTGTGCTCCTATACTGCTTGCCTGAGCAAAATCCACTGCAAGCGGACAGTCCTCTGGTTAATGCTGTGGAAGCTTTGATCAGTGCCAGCCGAACGGATGGATAAAAAAAACTGTTCAGAGGTCCACGATAGGAGAAAGCGGAAGCATAGCTGTGGGAATGCTGTGGGATGCGAGGATGCAAGACAGAGAAGCCACACTCCATCGCTCCCCCTTCACTCTCCCTCATTCACTCAGTTACTGCCTGCTCCAGTATGTGTGTAAACAGAGGGAGAACGAGGTACTCTAATCCCCGCCTCCTTCCAAAAATGTCTAAGAATAGCAGCCAATCAGGCGCCTGCTGCAGCAGAGGTTGGGAGAGACAGAGGGCTCTCATTGGGTGGGAGATGTACAAAGTAGGCAGGGCTGATTGTGTCAGAGGCGGAGGTTGTGAGACGCACCATGTGCACAAAGTTTGAAGAGGATATGAAGGAAAAGCTTTGAATGAATTGGGGGGCGGGGTTCATTCATGTAGCCATAAATAAAAACAGTACACTATGTACCACAAAGATGTGGGAACATGAACCATTATCATGTATATGGTTAGAAACAGAAGATAACTAAATATTTTGACACAGAAATATGTTCAAAGCAGGATGCCTTAGAATAAAAACTGAAAACTGAAATGTTTTAATGGCACATCTTTGGTGACAAAACTGTACAGTAGTGTAATTAATGCTTCATAATTGGTTAACTGAAGTTTTTATTTGTGAAATACTGTTTAACCATGTTTTTAAGCGGATAGAAGATAATTCTAGAAGTGCTGTTATGACAGTTAGTCACAGTTCATTCACCTACACGTTCAGCTATGAAGAACATTTTGAATGGGATCAGCTGAGCTATTCAAACATCAATGTTTCAGTGGTCCAGAGAGGTTTCCCTCTTCCAAGACACTTCCAGGGTTCATTAGAGATCTTCTTTAAATGAAACTGTTCAATAGGTCTGTCAGTAATGCAGAAACAATGTTCACTGTGGCCTCCCATGTGCGTGCCTTTTTTCCTAAGTGCCAGTATGGATAGTTTTTTCCCACTGACTGAAGCTGCTCATTGACTGATCTGCAGCAATAGGGGGGTTTTGCCGCCGCCACGTGAGCGTGTGTAATGGTATAAGTATCCAAGCAGGCAATGTATGTGACGGGAAGAAGTGTGTGTACATGTGATGTGTGTGTTAGTATGAACAGCGTGTGTATGTTGTGTGGGCGGTCTAATCGTGGAATCACATGAGCACCGGGCTTCACTCTGAGAAGAGGAGGAGGAGAGGAGAGGGATACACGGAGGAAGAATGGATGAGGGGGCGGTGTCGTTTCATCTTCAGTTCCCACTTCCTCATTCACATTTTTCTGCACATGAGTGGGGGGAAGGGTGTGTCTGTGTGTCTAGTCTCTGTTTGCATGCATGAAACCATCCCGTTCATTCATGTAGTAGGCCCCTCTGCCATTCACTGACGGATGGGAGATTCTATTCATATATTCATGATGGATGCTGTATTAGCAAGCTTTCAGTTTTCTTTAGGGATCAGTAAAGGTTAACTGCACGTTATCATCCATTAATGGACAACTGATGAAAATGATTAATATGTCTTACGTATTGTTTTATTATCCGTTCCCATAGAAAAAATAAATGATGACGTATTTCATCTCAAAAGGGGAACACCAATTCACTTTATTTAATTTGATTGCTGAGTTTTGTCCATTAAGTTGTCAACTGCAGCAGTAGCCGTAGTGTGAGAGAACAAGCGGTGGAAGGAACTGCTTTATATTTATAGATATTCAACAATCAGGAGCTAAAATTGGATGTTGGTTAAATGGTGCATCTATTGTAAAAGGCTGAACTTTTTCAATGTGATGGAAAAATATATATATATATATATTTTACTTTTAAATAGTTAACGTATTCTTAAAGATTTAGTACATTCAACCTTGATAAAGTCAGGGTCATCTACTGTACCATGTTCATGGAGTTGGAGTCTGACTACCTTAAAAATGGCAATAAGAGGCACATGACTAATAAAATCCCTCAGGGGTGTGAATCACAGTACAGATTAGAGACAGTGCACTGCAACCTCGCACTGAACCTGTTTGTAATAAATGTTAACCTGAACAGCGTGGCATTGTGTATCTACATTTTATCTTGTGACAGGTGTGTATGCTCAGTATATTGCTCTGTGGTCTGTCCAGCTCATCCGGCTGATGGTAATGTCTATGTTGAAGTACCTTGTTGGAAGCCATCTCGCTGACAGAGTGACGAGTTTTCAGTGTCTCTAGTTGTTCCAGACACCAGTCCAGCTCATCTAGAGTCTCTATGGCCAGCTGCTGGTGAGGCTCCTCTGTACCAGATAAACACAGCAAGGCATTATGGGATGGATTCAACTCCTTGAGCGCATTCACATAGTGTTCAAATGTAAAAAAATGATTGGAACTGGAATTTCAAATGAACTTTAAACCTACCCTTCTTGCTGTTTGAGAACAACAACAACAATTTCTATTTTATGATGCTTTATACTTATATTGCGTCTTTCAGAGTTAAATACTGTACTTTTACTCTATATATCTAGTTACATTCTATATGAAGATTTCACATATGTTGAGCTCATAAAATAGAGCTCTACCTCAAGCAGATACAACAGCAAAATGCTGTCTACACATTAATGCATCAGAAATAACAATTGAATCATATATCATATAGAATATAATTGACAACAATAACATGGGCCATTTGTACTTTCACTTTTGATACTTTAAGATTTTTTATCTGAATATTTCCCCCCACCAGTGGATTTCATGTTTTTGTGATTGACATTCATGTACGATTTCATTACTATGACATGTTACCATTTTACAATTCACAGATTTAATCATGATAATGTCTTCGCTGCCTCTCTGACCAGGTTCAGTGTTGATAATGGGATATTGATTAATAAATAGCTCATTTTAATACCACTACCAACCTGCAAGGCTGGTCTTGCACATTGATGGTGGGTTGCTGCCTGAGGATCGCGTCCTGTGGACAGAGACCACCCAAAGTCAGCAATCACAAGTCATACTGTAACTGCAACTGTTTGCCAGGTGTTATGGTCAGATTGTTAGAAGATTTATTGAACAGCCAATGATATTTTCTGAAAACCTACTTGCTGGCTGTGCGATCTTGCTGGCCGGTTATGACGGCAAAGTTACTTCGGACTGTCCTCAGGCTGGCGAGGACCTATAAGACAGGAACAAGAGACTGAATGTACAGGATCATCAAATGTGATGTGCATCATATTTGTGACGCAATGAAACCACAGATGTCACTTCATTCAAAGCCTTAAATACTTGCATATGCCTCCATCTTGGACTAGATCAACTGATTCTTAATATGAATGGCTGACAAGTCTTTGAAACCAGATACTGTTGCTTTCATCCTCCAAGCTGAGGCATTCCCCTCTCCCTGTCTGATGTTTTGATGGCATCTCTGACACTCCTCTATGTCATGTCTGTCACTTCATCTGCAGCCAAACACTGACTCAGCACACAGAGAAAGCCCACAGAGTATCCGGTGTCCAGACTTGACCCATGTAGCGGCCTTATCAGCGTCGGCATGCGAATTTAAACAGCATGATCCAGCAGTATTGGATTCACCGCTTCTTTCCCTGTGTAAAGTGAGCACAAGTGTGACGCACGTCCCACGCAAGAGCCAGGCAATGCCAGCGGGATGCCTGATCCTGTCGCAGGGCCAAACATAACGCTGAGGGGCTGTTCCGATGAGGCAGTAAAGCCCAGTCTCGTACCATCTGGAGTTTATTATATATTTTTAAAGACCTGCTGTACTTAGCTAACAAGAGAATGTGATTTTCTTTTTATTTGACCATCTGGCAAATTTTCAGAGAGCACAAAAAGGAAGGAAAGGTTTCAGAGGACTCACCTGTGCAAATGGTGTGACAATCATGTCTTCTGTATGTCTGCAATAAAGAAAAGAATACACGAGGAAAATGCATGAAACAAAGTCATGAAACACTGAGTAGAGGACTAATCTATAAGCTCCTGAATCTTAATAAGTATTCTGCGCTTAATAAAAAAGCAACTTTGTTAAGACCAAATAAACAGGAACCAAACTGCACTGCGTATAGTAAGGTTGGTGAGGAAACAGATCGGGGTAGGTGGAAGGGTAGGTGATATAAGTATGAACTAGTAAATACTCACAAGTAAATAAAAATACAGACTGTGTTATTATACTTGGTTTCTGATTAAGCATCACATGCAAAAAACAAAGAAAACAGAACTGGGTGTTTTGGGGGGTGGGTGGGGTGTTTGATATTTAATCACGTTTGTCAGGAGGGAGGTGGGAAATGGCTGTGAGCCATCTAGAGGGAATGCAGGAGAGGTATTCAAGGGGAAAGAGTCAGTGTTTTTATCTTTATTTTTGTTTTATCATGTTCTCCTCACCGAGATGACAACCAGTTGACTTCCCAGTGCTTCAAGCTTTCTTCCCTTAAAAAACAGATAGGCGAGAGTCGATGAGGAGACCTGTGAGTGCTTACTTTACAAACTTAAATGTGTTTAGACATTATGAACTTTGGAGGGGACTGTTTCAGGGACATATTGGACACACAAACAGTGAAAAAAAGAAACAACACACAAAAAACTTGCCCTTTGTTCCAATCCCTTCCAATCCCTGGGAAGTAAATTTGGCACGCAGGCATTTGTGATGGAAAAACAGCTGGTTGTACTAATGTTGGGCTTTTCAAGACTGTAGATCTGACTGTGGATTTTTTAGACACACGCGATGCTCTGTATGTTTTAATACTGCCTTTGAGCTGAAAGACTGAAAGGCTTTTGGGACAAGAATTGTATCAAAATGCGCTTAAAGTAGACCCCTCTTATCAGTCTACGTAGGATTTTTGTCAATCACAAGCAAACCTGTGTAGAATAGCTTTGATACATCAAAATACAAAGCAATTAAAGAGAAAGCACGCCACCTATACAGTACAGCCCTTTGGCTTCAAATGGCTCTCTAGGAATCAAAAGAAAATGCCTAAAAGACTAGTTTAAAATTTGCAAATAAAGTTGAGGCCACAACGGTTTGCTGCAGTTTGTAAGGAAGCCAATCATTAAACCAATGCACCATATTAACCTTCCCCAATGGGGACCTCTCACCGCAAGGAAGACAGACAAGAAGAGAAAAATATAGACGGACTAACCCTAATCCGAATAAAGGGCATTTAACAGACAACACATGAATGTAATCTTACACTGGTATCATAGTATCAAGTGCCTCACTTGTGAATATATTGTATATATTCAAAGTAAAGACTGAATATATGAAGTATACTGATTAATTTTATATGTGACCTAAAGTGCAGCACACAAAATACTGTTGTTACTGAGACTAACCCTAACCCTACTTTTGCATAGTGAGATATCAAATTTGTAATTTATCTGAGCATCACAGAGGCAATGAAACATGAATGAAACATGAATAAGTTGGGAATTTTAAAGCTGCTGTCTGACCTTGAATAGGTATTAGTATTGGAAAGCATGTTCTGCATTTTGTGTATTCAAATATACACAAAGCACTTCATGTCAAAAAACACACACCATAAAAGTAAAGCATGTATGGAGCCAGAATTATTCAGAGGCATAGGACTGTTCTGGGGGTGTAAATTAAGTTTTTCATAATCTTGAATAAATCAAAACATTGTATCTATGTCATGTAAAAGAGTGTCTCCCATTCACAAAGAGGTACCATATCAACAGTACGAGGTGTAAATGAACTTACAGGTCACTGGCAGTGGAGGAGTTTCTGGAAGGACCTTTGGGTGAAAGGTCAAAGTCAGAGTCGGAGCGGTAGAGGAAGGATTCCCGCCGCTGGCTATGAGGAAAGTTGGCCTGTATGACCATACCAGAGCCAGGGCTGGCCTGGGGGTCCAGTGGGCTGCGCCCCACTGACAATCCATTCTCCACATCAAAACTGGGAAGAGAGAGAGGGAGAGAGCGGATTTATTAAGGTTAGATGACTCATGACACATTTTGTGAATAAAAAAAAGGTGCAGATTTATTCCACAGTACAGAAAGGGAATGAAAACAGCATCCATCCATCCAGCCATCCTAAACATTCTTAGTTTAGGGTTTGTCATTATTAAACCATTAACAAATAAGAATTTTCTCATTAAAATATTAATCCTACTAAGATACTCCTACTGCTACTTTGAACATATTTCACACAGCATGCATGTTGTCCTGTATGAGTCTGTTTCTGGATGAAAACAAATGGCAGTTTGTGTTTATTGCGTAAGGAACAACTGGAAAACAGCTGTCAACTATGTTAATAGAAATATACTGACTGACTCGCTGTGGTGTCCTCCTGAGTAAATTAGTTCCAATAAGTGTGACACAGGCAATATGAAAGTGATGGTGAGACAAATAAATGGATCAATGTGGGCTGAGCGACAGACTGTTGATTTCATTTGGTGATGAAAATGTTAGGCTTGTGGCCACAGACAGCCTGATTAATGTAGGAATTCTCTTGAAAAGGTAGACAGAACCATGTAGAAATGCCAGTATCTACTCCAGTTGAGAGACTGGTGCTGCTCCAGCAATTGGGGCTGCTCCAGTAACAATGAAAGCGAGAAAATGAATATACAACACAATACTCAAATTTAAAAATATCACAAGCTGTCATTGCTTGCTAACAAAATTGAGCCATTTTTATCTTGAGAGCAGGAAATTGTGTGATTTATAAAGAAACCATTATAAACCAGTAAAGACCAAAATAAGAGCTGAAAATGACTAATTTAAGAGGGTGACAAAGGATATGACGGTGTAAAATATGTGAGAATGCAGCTAACACACTGATATGTCTCACAATATGGACTAAAATCCGCACTGCAGAGAGCCAAAGGCTGTGAATGTCTTCTTATTCTGATGGCTGCATGTCAATGACCCTCCTGGTGTAGAAATGGGCTGATCATTAGGCTAACTGGCCCACAAAGCCACTCACATCAAGTCAATGTGCTACAAAGAGTAAATGATAGCAACAATTTTTCCATCCTGTATGGACCTGCCTGTGCACATCATTAAAGGTGTGAAGCCTGTGTGGCATATGTCATGCAGGCGAGGTACGTGTGTGTGTGTGTGTATGTGTGTGTGTGTGTGTGAATATCCAGAGGAGGTCTGCATGCGTGCGTGGGGTGAAGGACTGTGAGTGAACAGCGGGTATAAAATTAGCATCAGCGTATTGACGTGGGGGTCATGTGAGTGTGAATCTAAAAATAGCTCCGGCGTTCAGGTGAGGAGGAGTTCCTCTTGATCAAACATTTCCTGACTACAGAGAAAAACACCAAATAAAGGCACGATGAGGCCCCTTTTTCACAGTCTGGGCACGTTTCTGCCTTGATCCACATCTCTATTTTCCCACAGCCCCTCCACTGACATACGAACCTGCAGAGACTCTGTCAGTCTGGTGCTCCGTTTGGCAACACGTCCTCTTTTCTAAACAGTCTGAGGAACTCCAGAGTAGAAATGCATGCTTTAGCAAAACAACCATTAGCGGAGCGTGAAGGATTTTGGACGACCACATGCTGAGACACACATTCAATCTTTTTCAAATAAATACAGCAGGGGTAACAATGTACAAAAATAAAAATTGCTGAATCCCAAGGCAAAGGAAAACTGTAGTTGGGTGCAGGACTGTGCAGAGCTGGAGATGTATGTTGATGATGAGTGTGGGAAATAATAAAACACCAACACTAAAACATAATTTCAGTCTGGAGTACATCACAAATTCTGAACTGAACTGAATAAATGGCAAAATACACTGCATAACATTACATTATTACAAATTAACATTTAGACTAATGAGGGCGCTATATTAAATGGTAAAGTTAAGGAATCACCAAAATAATTCATCCTGAGGAGGAGATGAATGTCCAATACCAATCCAGTGTACCAAATATCATGGCAATCCATCCAATAGTTGCTGAGACGTTTGATTCAAAACCACAACTCATGGTAGTGCTGGATGAAAAATCAGGGGATTACAAAAGTTAATAGGATTCATCATCTGGGAACCATGAATGTCTGTACAAATTGATCCAATAGTTGTTATATAATAGCTATTTCAGTCTGGACCAAAGTGATGGACCAACAGACTAACATCGCCATCCCTAGAGCCTTACCACTAGCATAGCTAGAAATAGTTAATTGCCACTTTAATAGCATTAATACTAACATTTAATTGCTTTGAAGGCTGCGGCTTTTCATGATGCTTTTACAGCAGGTATACACCAACTGCAGCATGCCAACATCCCATTCATTCCTCCAGTGCCCCTCCTCCTACCCTGCTACCCTCCTAGGATGCTGCATGAGGACATGTTGGTGCGTTACTGGCTATTACATAACAGCAGCCGAACAGAAGCCCCCATCCCTCCGTTCAGTGTGTCTGACAGATTCAGACACACTGACTGCACTATATGTAGCTGAGGAGAGGAGGGAGGGAGGGAACACAGCACGGTAAGGGGTAAAACAGGGCAAAGAGAGGAGAGTAATAAAAAAAAAAAAGAATACACAAAGAGTACAACCTGTTCTGAGACATGTACATGAGGGTTTTTTTGGTGTTAACTGTATGTACACTGTGTGACTGGAGCAGTGAGGTGTGATGCAGTTTGATGATGTGTATTTGAGGATTAATGTCATTTTAAGAGAAAAGTAGAGAGAAATTAAACCTTTTTTACGTGTGTAAATAATGCCTATAATGAGCAATGTGCCACCTTACACACATATATGTGTATTGCTTTGATCTGTAAGCACACACATTATCCAGTTACTACAAGTACACATGCAGCTAGGAGCTTCACCCACTATTTATCTTTCCTGTTTTCTCCATCTATCTTGTTCTGTCCTCCCTAATGATGCTGCACCCCTGGCTGTTGTCCTGTGTGCTCTGACCATAAACCCGTTTCTATTTTTGTTCCTGCATCACGCTTCTCCCTCTGTGCAGCTAAATTTAGCTTCCCCCGTGCATTGGGAATAGACCGAGAGAGACAGCAATGTAGCTAAAAATAGAGTTTCAGGTAGAATACAGAGCTCTCCTCTCCCCGCTCCTCTCCCTCTGCATCGCTGAGCAGCAGATTCTTCCCTCCATTCATGAATATTTATGGAGACATTTCTATTTGAAGCCCATGCCAAGCTAAAATTAGATCACAGATCAAAATATCGCCCACGTCTTTCCCTCGCTGCTTTTTCACTTCCAGTTTTCTCTTCTTTCTCAGGGCATTGAACATAGAGATCTGACTTACTCATGAACCTAGAGTAGTTTACCTTTTACTTAAACACACAATAAAACTGTGTTTGGATTTTTAATAGTGCAATCACAATGATATTCCAAATGTTTATATGAGTTAAGAAAAAAGACTTCAATGTTAACAGTAGCATGGACACCAGGAGTAGCTGTTGCCAAGGTAACAATAAATGGGGATCTAAATAAACAAACTGAAACAATGACATTAAAACACATCCTATCGATGTGAGAATTATTGCAACTAATCACCAAAGTGTTAGTTTGAATATGCAAATTAAAAGGGCAGCTACATTACAAATAACAGACCATTGTTTTAAAATTAAAATAGTTTTCATATGGACCGATTAATTACTTCTACTGATGGAATTCATATTCTACTATTGTATAGTATATGTATTAGATTTATATAAAGGTAGCAGGTTTTATTTCTTTATTTTTTTATTACAGGCAATGTGCGTGGAGCGAATGTGCTCCCCAGAATGTGAAACAAAAATGCCCACTGTGCATGACCTTTGAGCATACACTTAAAAACAAAATGTATACTAAATATGTCAACTGAGGCACTTTGTGTTTTCAAGAGGTCAAAGGTCAGCATTCAGGGTAAGCGTGCACACCGTCCTGACAGGAAGCTCCCACAGAGGCACCATGGCTGGTCTTCTAATATGACTCTATTGTCTTCCTGTCTTTCACATGGCTGTCAGTCGCACCCACCCACCCACCTCTCTCCTTCCCTCTCTCCCTTTCTCAGTTTCAGCCACAAGTGATAAAAATAAACAGAACAGAATGGGATTTTCTTTTAAATAATCCTGTTGAGTGGGATGGTGTTGTTTAATAATATACCAGAGAAACTTGTTGGTGAGTGATGGCTGATGTGTGTAGTAGGTGTTGTCTGGAGAACAGAAATAAATGTATGAAGTCACTCTGAGGACAGGGTCCCTCTTCTGGGCTTTGGTGAGATTGCAAGAGCTGGTCAATCTTGATGTTCTACCGTAGACAATGTGCATACTGAAGAGCTGAAACACCAGATTCACTGATTCATCAATTGATTAAGAAATTCATTAGCAACAGTTTTGATAATTGATTGACTGTAAAACAAAAACACCAAAAAGTTAGCTGGTTCCAGCCTCTCAAAATGTGAAGTTGGGCTTTTGAACTGGTTTTCAGGAAAAACAAATATTCAAACTACATGTCACCTTGAAATGTAGAAACCTCTGATTTTATAGACCAAACAATGAATCAATTACCGACAAAGTATTTGGCTGACTGATCAATAATGAAAATAATCTCTAGTTGGAGCCCTAATATGCTGTCTATATACCGATCAGCCATAACATTATGAGCCCTGACTGGTGAAGTGAATAACACTGATTATCTGGTTATCATGGCACCTGTCAGTGGGTGGGATATATTAGGCAGCAAGTGAACATTTTGTCCTCAAAGTTGATGTTAGTAGCAGGAAAAATGGGCAGCGTGAGGATTTGAGCGACTTTGACAAGGGCCAAATTGTGATGGCTAGATGACTGGGTCAGAGCATCTCCAAAACTGCAGCTCTTGTGGGGTGTTCCCGGTCTGCAGTGATCAGTACCTATCAAAAGTGGTCCAAGGAAGGAAAAGCGGTGAACCAGAGACAGGATCATGGTCCAAGGAAGCCTCTTCAAGGCTCATTGATGCAA